AACCTCAACAGATTTTTTACCTAATCCCACTTACCTTTAATATCAACCTTAAGATAAATATTTAACATATAAATATAATTAAACTTCCTGGTATAAACATGAAAAACGCAGCCAACTGGCTTTACAAGCCAAAATTAATTCACATTATTTTTTACTGCATTTGCATAATCTGCATCACAGCTCTGCTTTTACTGCCGTCCATCACACAAAACATATTTTCATATTCATGACTGCAGTGTTTCACTCAATGAATCCATATTTTATCTGCCGGTATGAGGGAAACAATTGAAATATATATATATATATATATATATATATATATATCAGATACAATAAAACATCAGGAGCTCCTCCCTATGTTAAGATAAGATAAGATATTCCTTTATTAGTCCCACAGTGGGGAAATTTGCTGTATTACAAATGACAGTACCAAATATTAAGACAAATAATGTAATAATATAATATGTACAATTTTAATACTTAGCCTAGATATAACAAAAATCAAAAAAATAGCAGCAGATAAGGAATATTGCACAGACGGTGGGTTAAATTACTTCACATGGCGCAGTATTTGTTATATAGTGCGAGGTGGAGATCACAGTGATCCGAGGACACGTGCTAATACCGGTTTAACTTTTCATATTCATCACCAGTGAGAGTGACATCATTGTCAGCATGTGCAGCTGCAGACAGGTCACTGTGGGTGGTGCCACATCACTCTCAATTCTAACAACTATCATATCTGATAACTATCTAATAACTAATACTCAACCAATATATCTATTTATTGATTGATCTATAATCACTGAGGCTCACGCAGCTGTTTAACATCGACAGCTGTTCTATCAGAAACATCTGGACGCGGAGCACATGGAGCCGCATTAACAGAATCACTGTCTAATAATAAAATGTGATCACGTGGATGAGTGGAAGGTGTGAGGAGGTGATTATTGTGCGTGGATGTGTAATTAGCGGCTCTCTGCTCTGTCTCTTTAACGTGTGTTTCCAGGCCGGTGGGCCGCTGCCCGGCCTTGAATCAAAGTGCGGCACAAAAGGCAGGGCATGAGGATCTGCTGATGTGTGCGGGACAAAGCCTTACCTTGCAGCGGCAGCAGCAGCGCCAGCAGCAGCAGGCTCACAGTCCACAGAGGGCGAGAAGCCATGACCCCAGTCCGCATACACACACACACAAGCACCCGGAGGAGGCTGAGCAGAGAGCGGTTAGAGAGCGAGCCGGTACCGTTAGGTCTGTCTGAAGCAGTTCAGCTCCGTCACGCTGAGAGCCGCAGTCAAGGCGTTCACTATGGCACTCTGAGACACGCCCACACAGTGCAGCTTCCTGCCACACCTTTCAAAATAAAGTTAGCTGCTCCACAAAGAGGAAACAACAGTTTCACAGTTAGAAGTCCATATAGTATAAAGGTATATGTCCATGTGTTTGATTATAGATCAGGTCTAGGTTCTATATTAATACTGTGAAAGTATCAAAGCCTCAGTCCACAGAGAAATGCACACAGCCTGTATTCAGAAACTGAGCCTTAAAACCAGCCGTCAGGACTTCTGGAACTTTGTGATGTCACAACAAAGCAGTCACACCCACCTAGACCCACCATCAAACCTTTTCAGGATTTGGTTTCTCTGAGTGTTTACCTGAAATCTGCAATATTTTTATTGGATCACTCAGAAAAGAGTCAGCCAGAGGAATCAGAGCCTCCTCTCTTCTGATTGGCTCACCAACCTGTTGTTACTAGAGCTCCAGAGAGAAGCTTGAGAGAGGATATGTAAATCTGCACTGAGATGGTTTTTGGTTCTTAAAATCACAAATATATCTTCTTATGGATCAAAACTTCAAATAAAACACTGGAGTAGAGGAAAATATGGTGAATATTTAAAAGCCGTCTCCTTAATGTTGTCCCGGGTGAGGAGCCTCAGTTAATGTTCACATCTTCGACATGATTGTTGGTGTCTGTCGGCTGATTTGAGTGTTTCTCATACCTCTATCATTTCTAGATCAGTGGTTCACATCCTGTGGGCGGAGCTCTTTTTTTTTTTAACCCTCTGGTTCAACCCATAGGACCATCTTCTGAAATAGCACCTTGGTTGTCATGGTTACAATAATAAACACATGGGCCTACTGAGAGCAGCGTACCTACCTTCATTGCCAGCTGTGTCAGAGTCTGGGAGTGTCTTCATCCACTCCTTGTACCTGTTGGCCTGTAGTACCCTCAACAATTATCACTGAATCATTATTATCTAATTCATGATTAGTAATAATCAGAATTATTTGCAAAATAAAACAGTTAATTAACTGCTTTTTTACTAATGACATACTGAACATACACTGGTCAGTGGTTTTGTGATGTCCAGACTGAGTATTCCCTGATTCACCCTGAGAACAAATTACTAATAGCAGATTATTGATCTTTAAATCGGTGCAAAAGAGAAGTAATGGACAGGCCATTTTGAAATCAGCAGGGTATATTCGGACATATGAATATGATCCCAGTGGTGGAAAGTAATTAAGTATTAGAGCTCCATCTAAAGCAAATACTTACACACTGATGCATCAGTATTAAACATATAAAAATGTTATCAGTCAAAGGAGCCAGAGAGGGTTTTCACTGATACTGAGACTTTAAGAACATTTTACTGAACAGCTGCTGAACTCTTACTGAAGTAGGATTTGAAAACAGTAGAAAGGATAACTTAAAAAAAAAAAAAGCAAGTGAACTTTAGTTGCCATTTTAAGTTGGAACAACTTCATAAAATAAAGTAAACACAACTAAATTTTAAGTAAACTTAACAAGTGGATATAAAGTCAACATAACTGAAAACTAACAGTAATATTTACTGAGTTTTTTCAAGGCAGTTGGTTTCCTAGATTTTCTCTAAGCAAGATGAACTTGACACATTTTACAGTGTAGTTTTACTCTGTGATGTTACTGCAGTTCAGATGTTCTTCAGTACTTCTTCCACCACTAGGCATTTTTACCTGTGGTTACTTACACCACATTTATTATTATTGTTACTAAGAGTAGTATTTGTATTAGCGGTAGTAGCAGCAGCAGCAGCAGCAGCAGCAGCAGTAGGTATATTAAAATAACTGTGGTGTCCATCAAACTATGTGGGCGTGGTTTTCGTCCCTGAGCCGCGGAAACAGGCGGAATGATCTCAGACAGCTGACAGCAGCGGATCCTAGGGACCAGCAGAGACCGCGGACCAGCACAGAGCACCGACCAGCGGACTTCAGAAACCCGGCCCACAGCATAGAGAGAGGAGATGGGGGACAGAGCGGGGACCAGGTAAGAGACTGATCCAGCTGTGCTCTCAGAGGATGGAGGGAGAGGACGGAGGTTCCGTTAACTCAGGGAAGGAAATCGTCCAAGTTCCTCTAAAAAAAACAAACTGTTTAAACTTGTTGTTCATGTGAAGTAGCTTTAAACTACTGAGAGTCCGTTTAATAATTATAGATGCGTTATTACATGTTAGAATTAAATCGAAGTGGTTCACAAGATCTCTGTCGCTGTCCTCAGTTTACTGAGGAGCTGGAGAAATGTTTTAATAAAAGTAGACTGACAGTAACGTTGAACTGGGAGGAGCCAATGAACAGACAGGTGTTTTATATCCAGCTGTTACAAACAAAATGTCTTAATCTGGTCATATTAGGTTTTGGAAAGTCTGGCGCAACTTCCTCATATGAGGAAACGGGACGTGTTGTTGGGGTGTTGGGCACCAGCAGGAAGGATGTTGCCTCTGTGAGCCTCTCAGTCAGAAACACTGTTACTTCTCATGATTATTACAGTCACATATATAAACCATAAAACTCTGAAAGCCCTGCAGGTGATTGACAGCTCTCTCTTTGAAGACATGTCTCAGATTGTTTGGAGAGATGTTCCTCCAGATTTTGACGTGTTTTTAAAGCTGCAGCTGAGCTGAACATCCAGATGTGTCTGATAGCAGCAGTGAAGCAGTTAACTCAGAGACGGTATACATCCTGGTGTTTGTAGAGTTTCATCTGTTGCAGAGGAAGACAGAGGATAATTTCTGTGTCTTCTTTATAACTGATAAAACAATGTAAAAGTCTCCGATCTAAAACCACATGAGAACCAGACTGTGGTGGATGCAGGACTGTAGTGGTTTTGGTGAAGGCGTCCTTCCGTACAGTTCCACCAGGTGTTGCCCAAGACGGAAATATTCACCGCACGGGATGGGGTCACAATCCCTCCAGTCCGTCCTTTAACAGTAACAGTCAGGTGACCATATGAACAGTGGAACAGGTTTTATCTAATGCAGTTCACAGAGGCTGTGAAGGTCCCTTCTCCCAATCTAATTGATGAGGAATAAAACCTGCAGTGTACTAAGATGTCTTCAGTCGTTATCTGAAGCCAGGCTCCAACCTCCGAAGCTGAAAACTGAAGCCAACACTGAAGAACCAAAACCTGCATTTCCTCTAATGACCACTAGAGTCTGGCTCCAACAGTGAGTCAGTCCCCATAGACTCCCATGTTAAAATGCCCAACTTTACAGCAGAAATAAACATGTTTACAGCCTGGTACAAATCTGTTTACATTTGTTAAGACTTAAAGTTATTTATAATTGAGGGGGTGGCCTCTTTGAGTGACAGGTGGTCAGTGTATGCTTGCCACAAACTGGCATAAACCGAAGTCATGCCCCTCCTCTTTGACCATTTCTGGATTATCTTGGAGTCAGACACTGCCAAGATGGCGACAGTGGAGCAGTTCACTCTGAGCTTCAAAACCGTTGTTCAGAAACCTGTGGGTGACGTCACGGAGGCTACGTCCATCTTTATTTACAATCTATGGTTGTGTAGCACATGTGTTGACTTTGTGTGTGTTGCAGTCATTTTGTTTCAACAGGTACATCCATCAAAAGCATTACAGTACAGTACAGTTGCTTTTCAACAACTTTTGGTTTGGTCTGAGCTCATTGGTGTGAACAGTAGGTTAGAGTCTCTGTGGCTGTTGCAGCTTTTCCAAATCTCTGTAACATTTGTTGATTTGGTCTTCAGGTCATTTCAGTTGTTAGCAGTTAGCAGTTAGCTTTGTGAAACTGTAGAATGTAAGAGAGTGAACCGCATGTCAAGGCTTCTTAAGTTCATCTTATCAGGGTTATATCTTGTCCTCAGTGCTGACCTCAGAGGCTCTCAACCCTGCTGAGCTCACTGACAGCTTTTCTTATGATTAGATTTTGCGCCTTTAGAATAAGGGGTGGGCAGGATGGCGTTCACATGTCCTCTCTGTAGATAATCAGGATGTGCATTTTGTTCTTTGCCCCTGTTTTCTTTCCTCAGGATGTAAAAGGCAGCACATTCCTGCACAGGCACATGCTAATCGTCTTAAAACTGCAGTGGTGTGCATAAAGTTGGTGAAGCTGACTTGGCCTGAATGGTCCTGACAACAGCTCTGCTAGTGGACCACTACATCTGCAATAATCGTGTTCTACAGTAATGTATATGATGAAGACACAGTTTTCATTGTGTCCTGTTGTAGTCATACACATGGACTCTATAGATTGGCCGATTAATCCCAACACTTGGTCACCCCATGATTCCTGACATACACATAACTGGCACACACTGGCCACATTTCCTGGAATACACTTCACCCACTTCCTGTTTAGATTGTACAGATGCCCTGCTCCTTTTCTCTGCTTCGCCTTTGATCAACTTTTACTCTCAGTTGTTTCTGAATAATGAGCAGTGGTTCTCCCTCATGACTAAACCATAGAGTTTGTAATTTATGGAGTATTATCATCTTCTTTCAACTGTCAGTAAATCAATGTGAAACACAACCCCAGCAGAAATTGTCTGGCCTGCTAATGTAATAGTGTGATGTTATGAGCAGGCCATTGTGCAACCCTGTGGACACTTTTATTTTGGAGGGTACAGGTTGTTACAGTGTTCTGTGTTCTGATTTTTTCAATGGGAGTAAATATGGTGTCATGTAAAGATCGGACACTTTCCTAATAAGGGGAAGTCGTCTTATTTTACATGCTGTATGTACTTGATGCACATTCGTGAGCTTCCTCTTTTCACATAAACTTGACCTACTACTCATGTAATAATGTAGTAATGACTACTAAGTACTCATGTAATAATGTTGTAATGACTACTGAGTACTCATGTAATAATGTAGTAATGACCAGTGAGTACTCATGTAATAATGTTGTAATGACTACTGAGTACTCATGTAATAATGTAGTAATGACTACTAAGTACTCATGTAATAATGTTGTAATGACTACTAAGTACTCATGTAATAATGTTGTAATGACTACTGAGTATTGATGTCAAATCAAGTCAACTTTATTTCTAGAGCACATTTAAACACAGCTTGAGCTGACCAATATGCTTTTACAAAGGACAGTTAAAATAAACAAAAGTTAAACTAATGTATAGAATGAGTAAATCACAAGGAAAGCATAGTAAATATAAACATATATATATATAATGTATACAGAAACATATAATCATACTAACATAAACAACAAGGAGCAAATACACAAGTATCAACATGACAACGGACTAAAAGGTTCGCAAGCCAAAAAGGCCGGTGCATAAAAACGTGTCTTTAGCTTAGATTTAAAAATGGAGATAGAGGAAGCTCATCTGATTTCTAATGACAACTTGTTCCATAATGTTGGACAAAGACTCTTCTAAGTGTCAGTCGTGATGGTGGGACAGACAGGAGAGATGAGCTTTCAGGTCTAAGAGATCCAGGAGCTGAGTGTCAATGAATAAGGTCTGTGATGTCAGCAAGGTCTTGAACTGAATTACAAGGATAACCCCCAGGTTTTTTTTTTTTTTTTTGCATGAGACTTCACATATGGTTTGAGGTGGTCCAGTTTACTGGGGAGGAGGCTTCTGGATTTAGAGGGACCACATCTGAGTTATGAGTTATATGGTTGTTTGTATGGTTTTGTTCCGGAAATGCGATCAGGTTTTGATTGCAGAATTTCATTGTGACATGGAAGGCATCTGCCTTATTTAGCTTGCGTGTGGTGTTTCGACACAGTGAGCCAAATTGTGCAATAAGTGTCTGAGCAATCGCAAAATACTAGAACAACTATAGATAAGCTAAAAAGCTCCCTTGCGTTGGTTCTTTGTTCACTATATTTTTAAATGTAATGACTGATGTCTTCCTCAGAATTGTTCCATGCTGAGTTGGTGAGCTAATTCATCACACACCACACTGTAGTTGTTCCTGTTCCACATAGAGACTGTAGAGAGGAAACATGGTCCAGGATCAGTTCTTAGACTCCAGTACAAATTTAGTTTACAATGAACTTCCTGTGTTACACTGAGCTGTCAGCCATCACTGCTGCTTTCCAGCTGCTCACTGTTTACAGAGACTGGCTCACTGCTGCAATGTGTGTGTGTGTGTATGTGTATGTGTATGTGTGCGTATGAAAGACAGGAAATATGACTTGATTATACACTTCTGTTGGTGTGTATTTGGCTGTAATGAGCTCGCTCAGTTCCTACACACACACTGTAAACACCGTTGAGTGTTGTCCGTCCTCACTCTGCCTCACCAGAGTTTACATAGTTGACAACAAGAGCTGTCGATTAGTCAGTTGATCCTTTAGTCTGTAAAATGTCAGAAAATACAAACAACTTCTTGTTTTCTCCTCAGAGCCCATGGAGCCCAGGTACTCAGATACTAGTTTATTGGACCGACGTGATCTCACGTGACAAACAGCAGACGCTCACATCTGAGAGGCTGGAACCAGAAAAAAATCTTCTGCATTCTGTTCTCGATCAATAACTCAGTTGATTAATTAGACGATTAAAGTTGATGCAGATTAATTTGTTTGTCCTGTAGTTCACACCCACGTCTGTCCTGACTCATGATATACGTAGTGGAGGCTGTGGAGGAAACGTGATGATGTCACAGTGAAGCTGACCTTTTGGATATAAAATGTCAACACTTCATTTTATCAGTTTAGACATTTGTGTTAAACTGTGTCATAATCAGCGTTGCAGTCCTCGAGTCCAGGACCCGGACTCGATTTTCAGGACTCGTGAGTCGACTTGCTTGGACTGGAACTCGAGCATTGACTGCGTTCAGACTTGGAAATTGGAGACGAGGACTCAGGCTTTTTTTTTTGTTAATAGTGTATTTGTTTGGCTGCTGTAAAGGGGACTCGACTCAGACTCGCCTCGGTCTCTTCGGTGACTCGAGACTTGATTTTTGAGGTTTTGTGACTCGTCTCCAACACTGGTCTTTATTAGTGGATGAATTCTTGAGTCGTGGCCACAAAAACGTGTTTTGTGAGGTCACGGTGACCTTTCACCTTTCAACTTTGCCCAACAAATTCCAATCTGTTCATCCTTGATTCAAAACGGACGTTTGTAACAAATGTGAAGAAACTCCCTCCGTGGCCGCGACTGTCGCTGACATACAGGAATAAAAAGATGACATTTAGTTTCTGTCATGTGAAGATACACAGTTCACAGACACACACGCTGTCCTCTCCTCTCTCTACAGAGTGTTTAAGAAGTCCAGCTCCAACACTAAGGTAAGAATGAAAGAAAGTTTCTGTCAGTGTCGCCTGTTGATCTTCTTCACTGCTACAGTTTCTGTCTCCTTCTTGTTCCAGCTCACAGTTTATCTGGGGAAAAGAGACTTTGTTGATCACTTAGACCATGTAGATCCAGTAGGTGAGTATACAGGCACACACACACGCACACACACACACACACGCACACACACACACACACACACACACAGGTCTTCTTTCCTCTTCTCCACAACAAACAGACCGGGGGATTAAAACCAGTAAAACAGTGAATAAAACAGTTTCACTTTAAAAATGTGAGTTCCAGCGAAGCTCTTCAGTGAGCTGAAGAGCTGTCTAACATTTCCTCAGCTTGTTTCTCTGATAACTTCAGATCCAGACGTCCGACGACTAAAATCCTTCATCTGCTTCAAAAATAGAGTGAAAACCACCAAGGTGTCAAAAGTGTATGTCCCTTTAAACTAGATAAAAGTCAATGTTGAGCTTCTGTCTGACAAACACACTGACACATGATCATAGAGGATATGATGTCACTGAGAGGCGACCAATGACACGGAGCGTTACCATGATTAATATCACAGATTTCTCTGGTTTGAGAATTGATGGAAACACTTACACAACTCAACATCATATAGAACACAGGTCCAGTTGTTTTTAGATGTTTTAATGTGGAAAAAAAAAACTGAAGCATGAAGACACAAACCTGGCTTCCAGCACCATGTACACACACACACACACACACACACATACGTGTCAGTGTGGTGTTTGTGAAAGTGTTGGTGAAGTTTTTTAAATTGAAACTGTTTTATTCACTGTTTTACTGGTTTTAATCCCCTGGTGTGTTTGTTGTGGAGAGTAGGACGCCTCTGTGGAGAATTCAGCAGCTGGTAAAAACCAGGAAGAAGCTGACAGCAATGGTGGTGAAGACAACAACTCCCATGATCCCATGCTACTTTATGACGCTGTCTTTTGTTATTGTTATGATAGAGAGACTCTTAAAGGCAGAAGTTACAGACTGCGTTAAATCCTTTCAGCAAACTCCTGTTGTAATATCGTCTAATCTCATCATATGTAGACACACAGACATGTACAGATCACACACTGCACTCAACACTTCATCTGCATGTATTCAACACCTTGTGTGTGTGTGTGTGTGTGTGTGTGTGTCTAGATGGAGTACTCCTTGTAGACCCAGAGTACCTGAAGGAACGTAAAGGTAAAAGACCGGCAGACAGACTCAAAGCAGCAGGCTGAGTGATTCACTGACCATACCTTTACTCAGTGTCTTCATCCTCATCCTCAGTGTTTGTGACTCTGACCTGTGCGTTTTGTTACGGTCGGGAGGACCTGGACGTCTTGGGCCTGTCCTTCAGGAAGGATCTGTACGTCAGCTCCGTGCAGGTCTTCCCTCCTCTGCAGGAGGAGCCGAGGCCTCTGAGCCACCTGCAGGAGAGGCTGCTGAAGAAGCTGGGTCAGCACGCTCACCCCTTCAGCTTCATTGTAAGACCACCTGACATCTACACAACCCCGGCTTCACCCTGACAGCACCATGACTTTCACCTCACACGGCTCTAATGTAAACCAATGTCACAGCCCATTTGTGTTCTGCAGAGAAATATAACTGTCTCAGTTTGAGTTTACACTGATGGAGAAAGCTGGAAGGAACATTTTACAGTTGCTACCTCCACGTTATTTAGCTCCTCTTTTAGCTCTGTCCTTCTACCATTATCTGATGTCCACATTCACACTAATGTCCAATAATGTTTGAGATTAAATTTCTTCACTATATCCTCAGATATCCAGAGCTCCATAATGTTTAATACTGCTGCTTTGATTATGAAGTGCAAACACGTGCTTCACGGTTCAGGGCGTCTGCTTAAACTGTTAGTAAAAGTTAAAAGCACAGAACAGTTAGTGTTGATGCTGTAAGAACAGGTGAGTGTATAACACTAAACACTCTGTGAAGTGAAGTGGATAAGAGCAGACGTGCTCTCTTTGTCATGCACTTACACTGGCTGCAGGAAGTTTTCAGACCCCTTCACTTTTTTGCACTTTGTGTTATAAATGGATGAAACCGTAACATCCGTTTTTACACATTAACCTACTCTCAATAATCCATAATGACAAGGTGAAGACATGTTTTTAGAAATGTTTGCAAATTAATTTAAAATCTAAACTAAAACCGTTAATTTATAAAAGTCTTCAGACTCTTCACTGTGGCTCCAAACTGTGACCTGCTGCTTCCTGTTTGCTTTAATTATCGCTGAGAGGAGTCCAGAACTTGATGGAGTCAACATGTTGCAAATTAGCTTCACCTGCAGGTCTGGACAGAGACCAGAGTCCAGTGAACCCTCTGTAGACCTCTGTGATAAACTGCGGTGAGACACAGATCAGGACAAGAAGCTCTGAGTGTTCTTCAAGAGAACTGTGAAGAGGAACAAGTCTGGAACCAGGACTCTTCTAGACCTGGTGTCCAGACAAACTGAGGAACCAGGTGAGAAGGACCTGGGTCAGGGCGGAGCTTCAGAAGTCCTCTGCAGAGATGGAGAAGCTGCTGGAAGGACGAGCGTCTCAGCAGCTCTCCATCAATCAGGTCTTTATGGTGGAGAGACGAGACAGAGACACTGTGAGGACATGAGACACTGTGAGGACATGAGACACTGTGAGGACATGAGACACTGTGAGGACATGAGACACTCTGCTGGAGTTCTCAGCAGCAGGGACAGGGAGACTGGTCAGAGGAAAACCTGATCCAGAGTCCAGGAGACCTGAGACTGGAGAGACGGTTCACCTTTCAGCTCCACAGTGACCTGAAGCAAACACCAACACTGCCGAGTCTTCAGGACCGGTCTCTGACTGTCCCTGAGTGTCCCAGACAAAGTCCACACCTAAACCTCATAGACCATCTGTGGAGAGACCTGAAGAGGACAGTTCACAGACACTTCCTGTCCAGTCTGAGTCTGAGAGGATCTGACAGGAAGAATCCAGGTTCAGAGCTCAAGAAGACTGAATCTGGAACTGCTGCTGAAGGGGGGTCCTACAAAGAACTGGACTAAGGGTCTGAAGACTTTTGTAAATGATTTTAGTTTTTGAGTTTAAATAAATTAGCAAAATGTCTAAAACATGTTTCATTTTGTCATTATGGATTGAGAGCAGATTGGTGGGCACAAATGGCATTTTTACAGATTTACAATTAGATCTTCAACACAGTAAGGTGAAGGGGTCTGAATACTTTCTGAAGCCTCTGTACCTTCTCTTACCCAGTTTTCATTCTGCTCAGTGAAGTGGAGAAGAGGAGGTTTGTGCAGGGATCTCCAGGAGACATGTAGATTTCACTTCATGTGTCTGGATGTGTTAGATTCCTCAGAACCTGCCCTGCTCAGTGACCCTCCAGCCAGGCCCAGAGGACACTGGGAAAGCGTGTGGCGTGGACTTCGAGCTCCGAGTCTTCTGTGCAAAGACTGTGAACGAAAAGATCCACCATAGGTCAGAGACTACCACCAAACTGATTCCATTAGAGAAAGTTCTTCTACTGTGCTTCACATGACACGTGCCGTGTGCGCAGGAACTCTGTTTGCCTGGCGATCCGGAAGGTTCAGTTCGCTCCAGAGAAGCCGGGCCCTCAGCCGATGGTGGAGACCAGCCGCAGCTTCCTGATGTCGGACAGATCTCTGCACTTAGAGGCCTCACTGGATAAGGAGGTAACACACACACACACACACACACACTCTGATGTGCTGTTTGATTAGAAGGACACACACACTGATGAGTCTCTGTCTGTCTCCAGCTGTACTACCACGGTGAGCCCATCAGTGTCAACGTCCACGTCACCAACAACTCCACCAAGACTGTGAAGAAAATCAAGATCTCAGGTGACGACACCTGTCCACAAGATGAAGTTGTGAGAGGTTCTAAATGCTGGTTTTGACACTTGATTGGTTCAGTTAATTACAGAAACACTACCTCCAATCAGTAATGAGAGAACCTTTGCACCTCATGACCGCTGAAATAATGCTGAAAAAACAGTCTGCAGCCTGCTGGGGTCAGTTAAAAGCACACAGCAGAATACTTTCCATCTTTGTGGCTTTTAAAGGTCCCTGTTGTGTACAGGTAGATGTCCGTGTCTTTTTTTGATTATAAAAATTTTATGTTAAAGGAGCTATATGTAAGTTTTGCTATTGCTACATGGCTAACGTTAGCATTAGCAGCTGTTTACTTACCAGTCTAGAAGAAACGTTTTGAGTTCAGCATCAGACTTTATTCCTTTACTCACCAACAGATGCATCCAGAGGTGGAAACAAACACCAATGTTAACTCTTTTCTCTATCACGTATTGTCTTCTAATGAAGTTAGCATGCTAACCAGCTAGCCCCGGCCCGTATTGTGACTTTTCGATAGAGAGTCACTGTAGCCTCCAGTCTGTCCTGAAGATTGAGCTGCTCAGAAGACCTATTATAACCTCTTGTATTGTAAACGCAACGATGGCTGAAGCTCTTGGTAAATTGGTAACTAAACAGCTGTTAATGCTAACATGTAGCAATAGCAAAACTTACAAATAGCTCCTTTAATATTGGGAAAGTATCGAAGCGCTCAGTCCACAGAGAAATATACACAGCCTGTATTCAGAAACTGAGCCTTAAAACCAGCCGTCAGGACTTCTGTAACTTTGTGATGTCACAACAAAGCAGTCACCACTCTCAGCCATGCCCAAGGCCCCACCCACCTGGACCCATCATCCAACCTTGCAGGTTGTTTGGAGTTGGGCTTGTTATGTGGTGCTACAGCTAAATCAAGTGTTGCATCTTACACCTGCTGTTATCTGTAACATCTTCCCATGATGCATTGTGGCAGACAGAGTGGGACGACTGAACTAACTCTCCTCCTCCTCCTCTCAGTTCGTCAGTATGCTGACATCTGTCTGTTCTCCACGGCTCAGTACAAGTGTTCAGTGGCTCAGGTTGAAGCAGAGTGAGTATCTCCCTCTCTCTGTCTGTACACGTGTTACATCACTGTGTCTGTTCCCCTGAAAAAGAACGACATGGACAACAGTAACAGATCCCTCTCTACTCCCTTCTTGCCTCTCTGTCTCCTGGACCTGCACACCCATCAGTGACCAGGTGTCACCCAGCTCCACCTCTTGCCAGGTCTACACCCTGACCCCCGTGCTGGGTACCAACAGGGAGAAGAGAGGCCTGGCTCTGGATGGAAAACTGAAGCATGAAGACACCAACCTGGCTTCCAGCACCATGTACACACACACACACACACACACACACGCACACACACACACTCATGCATGTGAACAGTCTGCTGATTCTTGTGTTGTGTTCTGTGTGTTACAGAGTGAAAGAGGGGGCCAACAAGGAGACGATGGGGATCGTGGTTTCTTACAGAGTTAAAGTCAAACTGGTGGTGTCTCTTGGAGGGTAGGTCTACACTCATACCCCTTTTCCACCAAAAAAAAAAACGATGCCCTGAATTCATGACATCATGGTTTCCAGTCTGATGCCTCAGGTGATGTCACTTGAGTCAGTGTTGGTGTTTGAAAAGTTAAAGTGAGCTGAACAGACCTGAGGCCAGAGGCTCAAGGTTACTACCCGCACAACACACCTGACATCTAACACTAAGTTGACAGTGTTTAGGTTGCATTGTGGGTAATGTAGGCACCAGGTTTTCACAAGGAAGAAGAATACATGGAATCAAAGGGACAGTGTCTCTGCTGCACAACGTCATTAAAGACTGTTCATCATGAGTCAGAGTGTTACATCAGTGCAGAGCTCTTTCATTTAATTAGTCATTTAATTAATAATTTATTTAAGTCTTGATCACTGACTATTTAAATTTTAATTAAGGTAATAAACTGTGTGTGTGTTTGTGTGTGTGAGTGTGTGTGTGTGTGTGTGTGTGTGTGTGTGTGTGTGTGTGTGTAGGGATGTAGCAGTGGAACTCCCTTTTGTCCTGATGCATCCTAAACCGACAGACCAGCCCTGCTCCAAGCCCCAGTCAGGTATGACACACACACACACACACACACACACACACACACACACCTGGCTCAGTTGGCTCTCTCTCTCTATCTCATAACAGTTAATAGTCATGTAATAACTTCGTGTCTCTTGTTCCCTCAGAGGCTGATGCTCCTGTAGATGTAAACCTTATAGAGTTTGGCACAAAGTAAGTGTGTGTGTTTGCGAGTGTGTGTGTTACTCTTTGTGTAGCTACATAATTTACTGACATAGCAGAGAAACGTCACACGTTTACATCTGCTATCTGCTATTACTTGTTGTTCAGTCATGTCCATCTGTCTGAGGAGAGTTTTTTTTTATTAAAGATTGGACATGTTCTCTTGTGTCCTTGTGTGTGTTTTGTGTTGGAGTGTGTGTGTGTGACAGTTTGTCAGTAATCTGTCTCTCTTCAGTTCTTCCTCTCAGGGTGATGACTTTGTGTTTGAAGACTTTGCTCGGCTGAGGTTGACCGGGACGAAGGATCACCTGGGTGCGGAGGATCCCTTCTGTTAGCTGGTCCTGCTCGCTCAGCAGGGCCTCTGGTCTGAGGTCAGGACCCTGAACCCCAGAGGGCATTAAGAAGATGGAGATGATTTAACTGAACCATTTGAAGCTCTTGTTTGTTTGTGTGTTTGTGTAGGAGTGAAGGAGTCATTGTTCAGGTAAATGATAAGAGCTGTTTTCTTCAGGTATCAGTGACACTGATCAATAACAGAGGAAGTTGATTTATCTTTAACCTCTTCAGGATGAAATAATCTGATGCATCTTCACTTCGCAGAACAAAGTTTAATGAAACCACAGCAGTCATCGTATTGTTTTTACTTCCTTTTTACTAACAGATATTCTCTGCTTGTCTTACCTTGTATGTAATACATCAATAGGATGAATATGCTGTATATGTACATTGTGATTTTAATGTTGAAGGGGCAGTTGGTGTTTGCTCTTCTGCCTTCAGCTTGTGTTTAATGCAACTGTATAAAATACACAGCTGTTGTTTTCCTGCTCCGGCAATCTTTTAGACACTTTCATACAAAGTGTAAAGTAGTCTGTCTCTCCTGGACACACATATAAAACACCACATACACAGACATTGTCAACAATAATACATCCTCATTCTGAGCATGCTGTAAACACAGTTTGTTCTCAGAGGCTCATGGGAAATGAAGTATAAACGTACAGTGTCTTACAGACTAAAGTGTCAGCATGATGTTCAGATAGAACTTTGAAAACCGTGTTGGTCAGTTGGTCAGATACTGGCTTTTAGCAGGTGATGCTGATATTTGAGCCAATGAGTGTATAAGCATCTTTGATAAGGATCCAGAAAATGTCACAGTGATGCACTAACATCTGCTGATAATAAAATCGACCTCCCGCCTTATCATCTGGCCTCTAATCCCTAAAACCATTGGATGATGTTCCCCCCAGGATGAACTGTAATAACTTTTCATCCTGTGTGAAAACTCAGATCTGTCCAACACTTTATTTAATAACCAGTTACCCTGAAAAACGGAAGATGTTCGCCCATGTTTAGAGTCATCTGTTCAATCATGTTGCAACGTAACTACACACGTTATGCTTCATTATATTCTTCACTGTGATCTCACTGTAGTGTGGAACAAAACTGTTAGCGTGGAGCTGATTCTGTCTGTCATATTTTAATATGCGAGTCGACCACATGGACGATCAACCACAGCGTCTTTGTTTGTCCTGGTCCACACATATTGAATCTGAGCTACGACATCAAAGACTGTACATCCTACACTGACACTGAGTCTCTCCTGTGGGACAATCGGTTCATAAGTGTCTAAACAGCACTGTGTGTTTTATCTATGAGGATGGAGGAGTGAGGATCATGAATCTGCCTGATTTTTTTTTCCCCCACATTGTTTTATGAGAAATATGAGATTTGTATAATAAATGCAAATGTAAGATATCACATCTATTATCATTATAACCAAACATTTATAGGAAACATCTCACTTCAAATATAAGAAGAAACAATGTTACATGATCTTTATGTTGTTTACTCAATAAAAGGTAAAAACTGTTGTAACTAAAAAAAAAAAAAGTCTTTATTTTGCTGTTTAACAAAAAAAAGTTGTCGTACAGAGCTTTATGTATTCTGTGAAAAACATTTCCACCTGTCAAACAGAAGCTGACCGGTGCAGGTGTGAGAGCAGGACATGTCTGAAGAGTTAATGACGCTGGACTGGACCTGGAAGTGAAGCGTCTCCAGAGTCTCACTGATGGAGGACTGTCATGTGTCAAGGTCCTGGATCAGAGTCACTTCGCTGTGTTTCTGTATTAACATTTCATATCGGTCCAAAAGACTGTACAACATATGACAGCCAGGTCATCATCATCATCATTGTTTACTTATTACTGTTGGTTAGTCTCTTCCTACAGTCTCACATGCTCCGTACATGAGGCTCCATCAGCGGCTAAAATGCTTCAACACCTGTACAATGAATCAGCTGAAGTGTGAGACTGAAGGACAAACCTGAACACTGCTCTTTCTGTTGGTCATCAGAGGTCTTGGTAGTTGTGCATGAAGAAGAAAAAATTGACCACGAGCAACAAAATATACTCAACATACACTTCTTAGAAAATCAGACATCTTGTATATAACATGTTTTTTTAGTTTTTTTTTGTGTGTTTCCTGTGAAACTCAGTATTTATCACTACAATAAAAAAGGAATATTAAAAAAACATGTAATGCTGGTGGTAGAAGTGGAGGATGTGGCTCATCAGCCTCATCAGGTGTTGCCCAGTGATCATGAATCCACCAGTCAGCCGCCCTCTGTCCTCTCATGTCTGCTGCTGCTGCTGCTGCTGCTGTTGCTGCTGCTGCTGTTGCTGCTGCTGCTGCTGCTGCTGCTGCTGCTGCTGCTCCAGCATGACTTCACAGGTCCGTCCCAGTTCTCCCAGTTTGACCTTGGCGTACTCTGCCCTGTTCAGAGCCATCTGACAGTCCTTCCTGGCTGAGTACGTGGAGCCTTCGTGAGGCTGACCAGTAGCTACCTGGAGAGAGGAAAGAGGATGAGTACCTTTAATCTGCTGCTCACAGTTTGATGCACTCTGACTGATTACATAGTATTTACAGCATTAATACTTAACTGGTTGTATTTGTGAAGCCTGTGTATGTATGGGGATCAGATTTGTTTCGAAAATACTGAGCAATATGTTTTAGTTGTTAAACAGAAAAGCAATAAGAGATTAAAGCTAAAGAATTAACTTCAAATCTAAATCTACAAGTTATTTATAAAAGAGTACACACACACACACACACACACACACACACACACACACTGGGTTAGTGAGCGAGATGATCATCCACCTGACAGGTGTGTCATATCCAGATGTTGATTACACAGCATGATTGTTGCACAGGTGTGCTTTGGGCTGGTCAGAATAAAAGGAACTTTAATATGTGGAGTTATATTTTGAAAAAAGACATTAATTAGACACTGAACTGTGTGACAGAAGTGCATTTTTGGGGGGAGGGTTGTGGATCAGAAAATGAGTCAGTATCTGGTGTGACCACCATTTGCCTCATGCGGTGCGACACATCTGCTTGGCACAGAGACACAGTGTGGCTGTGTGTAGTTGCTGGATATTGGCAGGAAGTGGATCCAGTGTAATCCAGATCATCTCAAACATGCACAGTGGACGACATGTGGTGAGTAAGAGGCTAGCTCGATGAACTGCTACACTCTCAGAAATGACTTTGGAGGCGTCTTACAGTGAATAAATGACTGATCATTTCGTGGTCCACAGCTCTGGTGGACATTCAGCATGTTGACTGCACACTACCTCAAAATATGGAGCCCCTGTGGAACTGATAAAACTACACATTTTAAACAAAGATTGATGGACACTGTACAAAGGAGATGTGTCACACTGCATGAGGTAAATGCTGGTCGCACCAGATGTTTTCTGAACCGCGACCCCCCCCCACCCTAATAAATGCACATTTTAGAGTGGCTTTTTATTGTGATCAGGCCAGATCACACCTGTAATTAACATCTGGATATGCCACACCTGTCATGTGGAGGGATGATCTTACTCATTTAGATCTTTTATTTCAACTCAAAAAAAAAAGTTGTGTTAATATTTTTGTTCAGTGTAGTTGATTTCAACTTACAGTTTTGTCTTTCTGAGCTCTCAGCTTTCACACTAATATCTATGGATATATCCAGACACATACTAAGATGTAGTATTCTACAACACTGTTACCATGAGGCACCACAGCTCTGTTGTAGCAGTGGTCTCTAATACTCTCATTGTGGGTCTGACCTGGGTGAGGTAGCGGATCTGGCCGCTCAGTTCACTCTCCACCCGGTTGACGGAGCTCTGGAACTGGACCAGCTGTCTGTCCAGGAAGCTGGCGTTGTGTTTGTCTTTGGAGAGCTCCAGGACGATGTTACCTGTGAGGGTGAGCACACGACAACATGTCAGTTCATGACCGGACACCGTGACAAACAATGATTTTAAATCCATAGTGTACTCAACATATATAGTTTACTCCTACAGCTGATCAGCAACACCTTTATATTCCTCTACACTGGCAACAGCCAAAGCCACAGGCATAATGTTTTCAGGTTGTCCGTCCCATGATGGAACTTCTTTAAATTTGGCACAAACATTCACTAGGACTCAAGGATGAACTGATTAGATTGGTAGTGGTCAGAGGTCGAAGGTCAGGGTCACTCTGACCTCACAAAACACATTTTTGGCCATAACTCACAAATTCATTCACAAATTGACAATTTAACTCAAATGTCTTCAAGGATAAAAAAAAAGTGATGACATTTTATATCTAAAAAGGTCAATGGTCAACTTCACTGTGACATCATAATTGGCTAATTTGCAGAAGAAAAAACAATGAGGATGTGTCTATCTTAAAGGGACAAATATATGACATGAACCAATGCCACACACCTCAGCTTTTATAGCCTAGACTAGTTTGCAATGCTCCTGAGGACGGCCTTTAAAAGATACAGCCGTCAACAAGGAAACACACACAGAGCAGCTTCCATTACACATTAGATGTGTAACACAGGAGGCTTTATCTTTCAGACACAGGTGTCTGTAGCAGGATGTTTGTAGCTGCTGTATTCAGTCATGACATGAGAGCAAGTACTGTCACAGCAGTGAGTTGGGACACTATATTCAATCTGACCTTGCCTTACAATAAGACCCAAGGGACCCAGTGAGCACACTGAATGGCCATCATAGACAGTGAAGGCCTGACATATGCGAGGGAAAGGCATCGCCACTGTCTGTACCTCCACATTTTCCTCAGGCAACAGCTTGATGTGCTGGTTGGTGAACCTGTCAAGCGAACCAGTGAGGAAAGCCATGTTGCAGTGGTCAGACTAGTTGCGTCTAGTGGGTTAACCAATATTAAGCCCTTCAGAGGGCAAAACACATACTGCTGCACAATCAAGACAAAAAGAAGGGGACAGCTTTCGTGTCAAGTACTTGTCTCAATGTGCACTCATTCATTTCTACTACTTCATTGTCTACACTGGACTGCTTACAGGGATTAGTGAGCTCAGTGCTCTACAATAACGGCTCTGATAATAAAACATCTATGTAAGACATCTACCTTTGTCTTTACATTACTTTGATGGCTTGTTTCTTACCAGCTTTTACAAACAAAACCGATACAGATTTATCTGCTCTAATTTGGTCCCCTGTTAATATAAAAATATTCGCTACAAGAATATTTAGATATAAGAAACATTTTCTTCAGTAATTCAGACAGAAAGATTTCAGTTGGACATGAGAGGTTCGACACTGCTCATTGTGTCTGCTCCTTGTACTACAGCAGGACTGTGTGTGGTAGCAGCTACTACCTATTAACTACAGCAGTGCGTGTATAAAAACATTCAGAATTATACAATGATACAGTTTTTAGTTATTTAAAAGGGCTACAGTCTGTCCTCACCGGCACACTGCAGGACCATCGCTATCTCCTTCTCCACATCCTCCAGAGCTCTGAGCCGCTCGTTAGCCATCACCAGGCCGGACACAGCTCCTTTCAGCGGGTTAACAACGACACGTCGTAGCGTACAGTAACGCTCCTTGAGGTCCAGTCAGTACACAGAGTAAACCATAAACTTGTTCGGCTCAGTTCAGCTTCACAGGACTGAAGCATGGAAGCGCAAACTGCTCAGCCCGCACAACAACAAAAAGCTCACTAAATCTACGTCACCTGTCGCACAGTGCTGACGTCCGCTTGGTGGAGAGGAAAGATGGCTACCTCGGCTTGGCTGCATGGCCCATCAGCTATGCGACTAACAGAGGGTTTGGTGTCGGTTCTGAAAGAACACCGTCCAGAGTATTTACCGGCTTTGTTGGCCAACTACAGAGAACATGGCGTCTTCCCGACACAGGTAGAGTCCGGCCCGGAGAGGCGTGTTAGCTTGCTGGCTAGTAAACTGTTAGCCTGCTGTAGCGGCTGCTACAGGCTTTGTTGTTCACTGAGCTGACACCTGGAGCTACAGTAGGACTGGGTGTTAATATGCTGCTGGTGCTGTCTTACTGTGTGTTACCTTCATTGATTGTGAACACCTGTGTTTGTCTCTGCAGAGCGCGAGCGCCGTCGGGGGTCTCGTGGGGTTCAGTAATGCCAAACTGGGCTCGAGCAAAACCAGGTGAGAAAAACCGATGTTTCACGTCAGCTGTCACAATATTTCAGTCACAGTTAACCTCATGATACCTGTGGTACCGGTGCTCTTAAGTTATTGTTCCAGTATTTGTGTTTTCTTGTTGTTTATTTGTAAATCTTTGTGATATATTAGCGCCATCCTCAGTGTTCCTGTCTGTATAGACGTTAAAAGTAAATAACTAAAACACTGATCAGTGAACAACATTGAAAAGAGCAGAAGTGCTCTGTGAATTATGAAAATGTAAACACAAACAAGTGATTTTATATACACACGCAATCACTGCAGCGCCTTCAGGAAAACGTCACATTGTTTATTTGTAGATATGGAGGGTATCATTTCAAATTTCTCAATACTGAGGCATGTAAACACCTCATCCAGGTTTCTCATCAGTCTGAGCACTCAGGGTAAATGTTAGTGCTGTATCCTGTCACTGCTGATCAGATTACACAGGTGAAGAAAAGCTGAGAGGTAAATGTTCTGGTGGATGAACCATAGGGACAAGAATGCCCCCTGATTCCATGTCTGTACCTTATACAGAACTAAAAGGTGGAATAAAGGTGCAACGTCCTCGCCTTGAACAGGTTGTGTAAAAGAGGCTACAACAATGAGAGCATTACCTAAATAGAAAATAGTCTAAAACTGGAAAAAATACAGTTTGAATCAGAAACTATATGATCAAAGAATAAGTGAAAAAGATGAATTGACCAGATATCCAAGCCAGCTTTTAGTTTCCATTTTTAAGTGTTAAGCTTGATACTCAACCTTGAATATTTTTTAATCAAAATAAATGGATGAGAGGAAAACTATCACATTTACATTTGAATTTCAAGTCTAGATAAAAACGTGTTAACCGTGAAGGAAATGATCAATAAAAGGCTTTTATGATCATTAAAGGCTCAGATATTGGACAGTAACTCCAAAGTGTGAATATCAAGGGGATGACAAAATCTGTGTGTGTGTGTGTGTGTGTGTGTGTGTGTGTGTGTGTGTGTGTGTGTGTGTGTCAGGTTTGAGGGCCTTTGCCTGCTCTCCATGCTGGTTAAAGACAGCTCCAGTGACCTGTTTGAGCAGCACTGTCTTTCCTGGCTGCGTTCCCTGCAGCAGGTCATACAGGTAAGATGTGTGCACATACAAACACACTCTTCTTAGTGTTGTCCAAAACTCTTCCATAAAACCTGACTAATGTCCTCTTGTCTGGTTCCTCCTCCCCGTCCTCTCCGGTTTGTCTGTGGATGTTCTCCTTCAGTCTCAGGCTCCGGTCCAGACCATCCAGCTGGCAGTGAACATCCTGAAGGATTTGCTGCAGTACTCATCCCAGCTAGCAGAGCTGGCTAGAGAAGTCGGCCTCAACTCCATCCTGGGCATCCTGACATCTCTGCTGGGCCTCAAGACAGAGGTGAGGATACAGGGCAGTGGACCAATAATCATGAGTGAAGGATGTCATGATTCACTGCAACTCAGAAACTAGTGAATTTTATGCCTCGCTACATAAATTTGCATATTAATTAGGTACATCAGACTTTCTTTTAAACTTCGTTTTGTTTTTCATGATGACAAACTACAACATATGTGTTCTTTTGTCACTGAAATCATTAGAGCCCAACGATATTTTTGGGGCCTATACCTATACCGATATTAGAGAGTAAAAAAATTCTAATATCGATTATATCGGCCGATATATAAAACACTTGTGAAAGAGATATGTAATGAAAGCAAAGGAACAAATACACTTAAAGTGCTGCCTATATAACTTGACTTGACCCGAACATTGCCACTGCATTATTGCTTCTTAATAAAATTATTAATTTCAGCGTATATCGGAGAATATATATGCCGATACCGATATATCTGTGATAGGCCGATATCGGCTGATAAAATCGGCTGACCGATAAATCGCTGCTGGTTTTCTTCTTTTGTCTTTGTAAATTTTGAGTCTGTTGTGACTGCTCATCATCAGATGTGTCCTTGGGCTCGGGGAAACTGTGATAGACAATGCGTCTGACATTTTAATGACTAAAACATTAATTAGGGTTATTAACGATCAGTCATAGACGATCTTACTTTGGCATAATGTCTACTTCAGATGAATCATACAGATCGCGTCATTAAGAGTTTCTATATTTAGACATTTCATTTTAAAAGTTGAATCACTGCTAAACAGCTAAAAAGATTGTCAAGATTGTGATCCTTTGGCCACTTGATTTAATGAAAAGTAATCAAGAGATTAATTGACAGTGAAAAGAACTGTCATTAGAACTATCGTAAGCTCTTTTTTCATTTTCTCCTTGTGGTCTCAGTGTGAGCTGTCAGCCATGGAGGGGATGACGGCCTGTATGACCTACTACCCCAGAGCCTGCGGATCCCTCCGGGTAAGACACAGAGGAGAGAAAGAAGATTTTTCTCCACCTTGAGAGTTTTTCTTGTGTTTTATAGATAACTTGAAGATCATGTGTATTTCACTTGATTAGGGATGGGTACCGAAACCCGGTATTAAACGGGCCCTAAAGACTGGAATATCGATAAGCTCCGGTTCTGCTCTTGGTACTAGAGAAATTAAGAAAATAAATTTCCTGTTCATTATTCCTACATAAAAGTTCTCTTTCACATTTTATCTCACTAACTCCGTTTCTGAATGATGCATAATGAATAATGATGAAAAGTAACCACGAGCCAGCTGATCATTATTGGTGTGTTCTTAAATTCAACCTGAAATGGACAGAGCTACTGTTAAAATCTTAACGATACCCATCCCTACAGTTGAGCCTTGAGAAAACACTGAAAAACCTTTTTGTCTTTTAGGACAAACTGGGAGCGTATTTCCTTTCCAAAATGGACAGTTCAAACAAGAAAACACAAGAGGTTTGTGACTCTCACTTTTTCATCATACGTATTGATATGTGCACTTTTTATCCTCATCTCTCGATCTGTCTTTCACACAAAAACAAGGTACTATTACCTTACAAAGCGCTTAATTTCTCCCTAATGATTTCTGAATAATGTTTTTTGTTGTTGTTTTGCCACTTGTCACAGATGTACGTACAGGAAAGTACGGTGCAAACTGAACAAGTGAAGCAGCTGTTTTTTTTGAACAAGTTTCATGTGTCTGTCTCTGTGTCACTGTCAGATGGCCTGTCAGTGTTATGGTCGCTTGCCCTGTCTGGGGGGCCTGTTGGACCGAGGGGTAGGTGCTGGCAGAGCTGAAGGCTGGACCAATCAGATTCACTGCTTACTGGCCTCAGCCAATGGCCTGCTGACTCAGATCTACCAGGGTTCAGAAACAGGTACACGTTCTATCAGTGATAGTGGAATTTCTCTGATTGAATTTCCTAACTTTTTCAAATTCATTGTGGTTATTTGCTGAATAATAACAACACAGGAAGAACTCTTAACAGCACTCACGTAGTTTACACTGCTGAAATTTGAATTGTCCAGTGTGACATAATCAACATATGCTTTATGCGTCACAAATATCAATGTTCGACATGTCTTGTCAAACCCTAAAAAACCCAAAAATCCTCCAGTGGAAGGCGCCCAGGAGGGGAAGTTGAGGGATCAAAATGGAAACAGCAGAATTGGAGGTCTCCTGACTTTTGGGCCTGGTGCCAGTCAAGATCCAACAACATCACATCCTACAGTGTTTCTTCATTAGACCCTCTGGCCCTGATAAACTCCTTTGTCTTCCACACCTCCAGGCTGTAACACAGAGATAACCCTGATGATGTCACTATCACATCATTATCATTATTTTTTCAGCTCCTCTAGAGCTGTTTTCACCAGCTGAGTAGAACCTACCTCGACCAAACCACACTGACTTAAAGATGTAAAATGGTTCTTTAGAAACACAAATGTCAAAGAACTGATGATCAAGTCCTTTTAGGAACTATCCAGTTATTTTATAACTCAAGAAAACTGAACTACACTTTAAGCCAAAACAATTATTTCTCTCTTAAAGCAGTTTGTAGTCCAGACGCTGGTGGAGCTTCAGCTGTTGTTTCTGCAGTGTACCAAAGATTTGTAGAAGCTCTTTGTAGAGTTGACTTGTTGACAGTGTTGCATATGAAGTCAGTTTCCTGCATTAACTGTATTCCTTCCTGTGTTTATACTCTCTTACATCGCTGTGGCTACAGAGACAGTGTTTGTACCGGACATAGATCTGCTCATTTACACACCTGACGCATGTGTCGTAAGTTAGTGGATGGGCTGCAGATATCTGTGAGATGCTGTGTAAAGTCCTTGTCGTAACGTGTCACCCTGCTTTGGTTTGGTTGTAGTCTCTACATGTGTTTTTGTGCTCTGATGATGCTGCTTGCTGTTTGCTGTCTCAGATGGAGCCGTGCAATATGAAGGTCCGGGGGTGGAGCTGGCCTTTCCTCATCTCGACCAATCAGATCCGCTGCTGCTGCTGCAGCTCCAGCACAGATACACAGCTGTCTGCCTGGCACTCAAACACACACTCAGGTACAACACACACACGCACACACACAATCCAAGTTTAAAAATGTTCATCCAAATTATGATAAAATGTTCTTGTTTACATGTTGTGGTTTTTAGGCATAAGAATAGTTTTTGTTTTGTTTTTGTTTTTCCACAGTCTGTCATTCATCATGTTCATAGCTCTGAATACTGAAAACAAAGTCCAGTTAACTGTCAACAGTTCTCATTGGACCCGATCTCTGTGGAAGAAAAGGTCCCATTGACACTCTGCAGGTTTTGTGCTGATGAAACGAGTGTGTGACTGGCCTCACTCCTTCTTTAAACAGAATTAAACTGAATCACTTTGCTCGGCTCTGTCAAACCCGAAACCTGCTCGTCGCTGCTCGTTGTTTTAATTGAGCTGCTTCCTTCTGTTGAGCACAGAAGGACCTTGTGTAGAGTTAATGTTAACAAAGTTCATTATGGAGCAGATACAATACATGCAGCAGCCTTTTTGTCTCATAGCAACAAGGATCAAAACCACAGCTCACACAGAGCAGTAAAGGGTTTGATGCAGCATCACAGGCGTTCACTGTGTCTCTGTCCATCAGGGTGGATCCAGCCTCAGCTGTCCGTCTACCTGTCAGACCAATACTCAACCTGGTGTGTCGAGCCCTCGCTGTCAGCTCCAAGAGCATAGTGAGTGTTCTCTCTCTCTCACCCACACACACACACACACACACACACACACACACACACACACACACACACACACACAATAATAATTAACGGAGTTAATACGTTTTATAAATGGACATCAAACAAATGATATCTCTCTGTGTCAGAATTTAACAGGAGATGGAAGTGTGAGGCTGCTGGTCCTGCCCATCATACACACCAACACACTGGACATCCTATCAGCTCTGATCACTGCGTGAGTACACACACGCACACAAACACACAGACATGATTATGTTCTGTAAAAACATATGTGGCCATTATCCAATGGTGTAACTCAGGAAGGAGAGACTGAGACCATATTTCCTGTAACGTGACTGGTTGGTTTCTAGTCGTTCTCATTATTATTCCACTTCCATTCTTCTTCTTTTTATTGATCTCCGCATGTGGTATCCAAATGCTCGGACCCTGGCATCTATACTTTAGTTTGTTTGATTTGTTGTTTGTTGCTGACACTGAGTCTGTGCTGTGTGTGTTTACAGTGTGCGTAGCAGCATGGTTCAATACACTGTAGTTCTACAGAGGCTGTTCTCTCAAACCCTGTCTGCCTGGACGCCTGTACATGAAGCCAGTCTGGGACAGCAGAGAGCCTACAGGTAACGTCCTGATCCTCAACACAGAGGAACCAGTACCCGAATCACAGGAACCGCAGCTCCCAGTGCAACACCACATCAGCATTTTATCAGCAGCTGGTAGACTTGCAAGAACCATTTGTCCAGTGCTGCAGCAGACACAGACAAAAATCCAGCATTAGCAAATGAATGAGCTGTTAAATTTCGGTATCCTACCGAGAGGCGTGCAAACAAATCAATATCTCTACAGATTCAAAATCAATGCATAAATTCCAAAAAAGGATTCATATTTTTCAGTCTTGTAACAGCGCTGCTTTCCATTTTTTCCTGACATGAGTTTAGCTCGTCAGTCCTATAGATGGCGCCACGTCGGTTTCGATCAGACACATGTCCTCTGCAGCTTTATATCCATTTTTAAGAGCTTGAAGATCCGAGCATCACTAAACTGTGTGTCATATAGAATATATATCAAATGGTCAAAGTTGTCATATTGACATTGGAGGTGTATTGATTGATTTCCAAACATCAATCATGCATTGAGTAACACGCAAGAAAACCTTCCACCACAGTGTCCAGAAGCTGCTGTTAGTTAATTAAATCATTTCATTAGTGAAGATGAAAAGACAGAAAACATTCTTTCATTCATCATTCACTCTTCTGACAGTTTCTTTATCTGTGATGCTTTTACACAGAAACATGACAAAGTCAGTCTGTTACACTTTGACAGCTTATGCTGATGGAAATAAAAGCTAGCTTAGCTACGTTTTCATAGCCTAGCCTGTTAGTTTAGCTTAGCTTGACCTCTACCTGCCCTGCAGCTTCTCCTCTCAATGGATGTTTCCAATGTAGCTTCATTTGCTCGACACAAGTCAGTAAATAAAATCATTCAAAACACAAACTACTTGTGTTCATTCACCTGCTGCTTAATGCTAGGCTAATCACAACCTGCTACATCCATGGCATGGTGTAATAGATAAAGAGATGGATACTTTATTTATCCCCGAGGGGAAATTCACTCAATATTACTGAGCTGGATGTTTGTCTGATGCTGCGTCATATTCTCAACATGAACAAACTGTTCATAAAGTCAGTCTAACATCTGATCATGTGATCATAGTTGACTGATTTATGTAACTTGTCATTGTAGGAACAGTGGTTACATAACCTTAGAAACAAGCTGCAACTTAACCATTCGCATTGATGCATGTGCCCACATCAAGATACACCTCTGACCATCATATAGAAAATATAATTTAAAGGTAGGTGTAGGGCTTCACAATTCAGAAAATGTCGGGATTCGATTCAAAATCAATTTTTGATTCAAAAACAATAGGTCATGTAGTGTATGATGTTGTATATAACAATAAATAATATTAATTAAAATAATATTTTCTGTTATTCTGAAACTATTCTAAACAATCGTTGAACAGAAACACTGTTATGAGGTGGGACAGAGGGGGTCAGTTTAGGGCCAGTGTCGGGACATTGAAGTGTCAGAGACGATGTGGTCTGAAAGTGTGTGTTTGTTGTGTCTCTGGTCTGGTTCCACAGCTCGGTCCGGGTCTCGGTCTACAGAACCTTAGAGCTCTGGGTCCAGGTGGCTGGAGCCTCTGCCAGCATTCTTCAGGGAAGCCCAGGTCACTCAGAGCTCCTGTTTAACCACCTACTCGGTGACATCACACCAGGGGCGGAGTCTATCAAGGTAGTTAGTTTGAATGTATTTAAGCATCATGTATTTTACAGTAAGAATGACTGATTGAAACAGGCGGTGTGTGGCAGCCGGTTGGTGTCGTCTCTAACTCTCGTCCTCCCCAGCTCCGGGCAGGTCTGTCAGCTGATGCGGTTCCTGGAGGGAAACCAGGTCCTCGGAGGACGAAGCCTCTGGTCATGGCAGATGCAGTAGGGCCGTCGCTCCAGCGGAAAGGAGACTTTCTGGCCAATCAGGACACCTGTCTCTCAGCCCTCAGAGGTGACAGGCTGCTCAGTCTGAAGACGGCTCTTATAATGGGTCTGTTGTAAATGTGGTGTCCTCACACAGATGCTTTCCTCTCCACAGCACTGAGACAGATCATCCTGACCGGTGGCACACTGCTGAAGGACGATATACACAAGGTAAATATTAACTGTAACCTACTCGTGGGAAACACCTGAAGTCACCTGCCCTACAACATGAAACACTGTTGTTAGACAAGATGAAGACATGGATGGTTCTGTCTCCATCATCTTTCTCTCTCTGGTCACCTCTCTTCTTCAGTGGTTTTCTGCTCTGTGTTGATTCTCTCACAGCGTCTCCATGACGTCGTGCTGCCGCTGTGTGTCCGTCTGCAGCAGCAACAGTCCAGCAGCAACGCAGCATGTGAATCAGCAGGAGGCGTCAGCGGGCAGTACAGCAGCGCCCTCACAAGACGAGAGCTGTACAGGTGCTGCCTTCATTCACATCATTTCGTGTTTGGATATTACTTTGAATGATAAACACTTTGAACTGCATGTTGTTTATGAAAGTGCTTTGTGATTTGTTAATATTATTAACTTATTAGTAAATATATTCATTAATAGCCACAGTGGATGAATCTTAATCATTTTTATAATCTTTTATAACATTTGTGGACAAATTACAAACTTCTCTGCAGCAGTTTCAGCAAATTATAAAAAAAAATAAAATAAAACAGGAACATCTGGATTGAGTTCTGGTGAAAAGTCTGAAATGAATCAGATGTTTCGCATATATCCACCAACTGTGCTGTATATGATGTGTAGTTCGACTTGTGTGTCGTAACAGAGACGAGACTGTGTCGTGTTGATGGATCGTATTGTTTGTGTGTATTTGCAGGTTGTTGCTGGCTCTGGTCCTGGTCCCATCACCCTGTTGGCCCCCTCCTCTGACCTGTGCTGTATCCATCCTCAGCAGTGGACGCGCCGACCGCAACCTCAAGGTGACTCTGGCAGAGAGAGAGAAGAGACTCTAGCTGTGTTTCCTTTGAACCTGTTTAAAACAAGTCATGGAAACATGATTTAAAAACATCAAATGTTGAAAAAGAAATGTGTGAGGTGGTGAGGTGGTTTTTCAGACTATTAGACAAAGCAATGTTTCACAGAAGTGAAATGGTAACACTCTTTCTGCATTTAAGTCACATGACATCCAAAGACACTGCAACTATTCAACTATATAATACACTAAAACAGTTCATAAAACCATAAGACAAGATTTTACAGCAGCAGTCAGTTTATCGTCACAAGGTAAAGAATGAACGTTAAAAAGTAATCTGTACTGAACATGAGTGACCAACACAGCACAGTGTGTATTCATTTATTTATTTGGCCTTTTTGCCGTTAGTTTACAGTCAACAGGAGGGAGGGAGGGAGGGAGGGAGCGAGAGAGAGAGAGATAACACAAAACAAACCTGCAGTAGCATTTCATCACTGACCTGTGAACTTTCATTTTCCCTGACTGTGTGAAAATCAGATGTTTTTGTTTCCCAGATGATAAACAAAGAGATTTAGGTCAAGTAAACAGTAAACAGCTAACCAAAATATATAGGAAGCCCCCCACCCTCCAACCACAGCTTCTTTTTTGTGATCATGGACTAAATGAGCTCAAAGCTCAACACGAGTGTCTTTGTTAGTTTCATACTGACACAGATGTAATGTTCCCGTCCAGTGCCCACGTTGTTTGAATAACAGATAAACATCTGAGCACCCATGGGCGTGTTGGTCTTAAAATGAGGTTTGAGCAAGAGCATTGTTGGTGCATTGTCATCTTGAGTTAGTGGAAAATGACTGATTAACAAAAAACCTGGTCTTAAGTCAGTGGTACAGAGTTTCACTATTACTTAGGAGCATTGTGAAGAGTAATAGGCTCCTACGTAGGCAGGCATATTAACATGCAGTCTGCCTGTTACACTCAAGCAGAGTGTGTCACAGTGTTTCCCAGTCACACACAGAATAAATATGTCTACAGTTTCGTAATGCACCAAAAATTTATTTATACTTCTCATAATAAACATTAAATATTTCTAATGTTGTGATTTGTGCCGTTACTTCTTTATAAAGCCATAAAACCCTTCATTTCCCCTTAGTGCTCACAGAGCTGCTGTGTGTGTAACTCACTAGTCAGTCACAATATGTGATCAACTCACAACAAACAGAATCTAACTCAGTGTGATACACTGCGCTGTTATAATAGCAATCCACCAAGGTGCCCCTGCCTGGTTTTTAATGGGAGATGGCACTGTGATTGATTTGTTTATTGGATGTTACGGTCAAAACACTACCACGAATAATTAAGAGATTGAGGTCAACCCTTTTGAAGCATGCACTTGGAGCAGCGACGGTTGTTTCCACCGTTAAAATAGCAGAAGTGATGTGGACACGCCCTGATTGAGCTTGTGCCGCACGCTTCAGACCGTGAGCTTTGGAATGTGAAAACAGAGCCACTGTGTGTCTGTTTGAAACAACACAACAGCACATCATGTACCGTGGTTACATTCATAGTTCTAATGACTCTCTCTGCCCCCCCCCCCCTCCACAGGTCTCTACGTTCTGTGCTGAGGCTCTGACCATCTGTAACTCCCTCCTCCACCCCCGCACTCCCTCCATCGCCCTCCCTTTACCGCCCCTCACCCTGAAACCCACCCCCACCGCTCCAGTCCTCCCATCCTCACAGGGCCCCACCCCTGGACTCACTCTGCCCACCCTGTTAGGAGGCACCGCCCCCGGTCCTCCTTTCCCCAGCCGCCACTCCATCGGTCTGGGCCCCGCCTCTCTGCTGGGCTCGCTGGAGAACCACCTCTCCCTAGTTCCAGGGCTGCCGGGCCAGGCCCACACCCCAGGAGACATGATCCTGTCTCCGCACACACATCACCTGCCAGACCAGGCCGGGCTGGGCCCCCCAGAGGGCCAGAGACCCGTGTTCATCCGCTACGATAAGGAGGAAGCGGAGGACGTGGAGATCTCTCTGGCGAGCGACTCGGACGACAGCGTGGTCATCGTTCCTCCGGGGATGCTCAACATGGAGAACCAGCAGGACGACGCCGCCGCAGCTAACTCCCAGAACCTGGTCTCTGCTGCACCGGGGGGCACCACAGTCTCTCTACCAGGAGGAGAGTGTGTCACCATGGTGCCCACCACAGCTGTACCAACCACAATAGACAGCGTCTCGCTTTCCAACAACCTCGCCACCTCCTCCCCCCTCCTCACCACCTCCACCACACCCATCAACTCCTTCCCTCCTTCCAGTACCTCAGTGGTTTCCCTGGTCCCACCTTTGAACTCCAGCACACTCACAGCTCCACCCGGTGGTCTGGGGGACTCTATGCCTGGCAGACCCCAGCTCCAGCAGATGCTGATGCAGCCCTCCACAGCGGGCCAGCCCGGACCCATGGGTCTCCCGCTCCAGATGCACCAGCTGCAGAACCAGCTGAGTCAGCAGGGACGCCACCTCCACCAGCACCAACCACCACCTGCCAGCAACGAAGACTCAGCCGTCATCAACATCAACAGCACCGACGAAGAGGAAGAAGAGGAGGAGGAGGACATGGAGGATGATGAGGAGCTGGAGGAGGAAGAGGAAGGGATGGATGAGGAGGACGAAGAGGAGGAGGTGAGCGATTTTGCTGAGGAGGAGTTTTATGATGGAGAGGAGTATGAGGATTATGATGAAGAAGAGGGGGAGGAGCTGGAGGAAGAGGAGGAGGAGGAGGATGGGGACATACCTCCACTGGAGGGAGCGGAGGACAAGGCAGGAGAGGTGGGGGTGGAGGAGGGGAAGGTGGTCCAGGCAGCAGTGGATGAAGAAGGGTTGGCTGGGTTCAGTGTGGAGGGAGACGAGGAGGGAGGGATAGAGGAGATCCAGCCCAACAGAGTTCTGTTCCCAGAGGACAGGATGAAGGTGCAGGAGGTGGAGAGCATCGGAGTCCTGGAGGAGGCGCGGGGGGGCGAGGGAGAGGAGGATGAGAGTGAGAGGATGGATGACCCCACCATGCCACAGATACTGTGTGTCACCGGAGGAGCGATGGAGGAGAGGGAGGAGACGGAGGAGGGAGGGGCAGCTGGGGGAGGAGCTGGAGCTGGAGAAGGCGGAGGAGCGGTGCAGGAGGAGGCGAGCCTGTGGGAGCAAGGCGCCAGTGAGGCTGAGCTGAGAACCTCCTCCGAAGAACGCACAACCAATCAGAGTCAACAGGTGAGAATTAAAACTGTACAATGTTGAGAGAAAAAACTTTCAAATATTTAGGAACATCACAAACAACCAACAACCAGGTGAAAGGACAGTCAGTGTCAGACTGAGCTGCTGTTTGTCTGTCTAACAATAGAATAGACTCAGTTTCTTCACTATCTTTTTACTGTCCTGATGATGATGATGATGATGATGACGATGACCCGAAAGTTTCTCCTTATTAATGAAACCTCTGTTAATTAGAACTTCACAGGATGCTCCAGGTTCCTCATTTTAAAGCTTCTGATATTTCCCCTCTAAAACAGCACAAATGATCAATTTATCCTCATTATAATATGACTTTTTATTGAAATTTCTGATTTTCTTTTGCTCAATGTGGCCCTAATACATTGTAGTTTAACATGCTTCTCTTCTCAGGGTGTCAACAGAAAACTATTCTGTGTGATTCGGTTTAAAGACAACAAAAACAAAGATTATGATTCCAGGCGCCATGTGTTCCTGGAGGTCAGGAAACAGGAGAATTGTCTTTGTAGTTGATGATTGAAGCTGGTATTGTCACAGGGTTGTTTCAAGGAAACCGATCCCTCCACCTAACGCTGACTCATTGTTCCTGTACAGGAGTCGAGGCCTGAACCAACACAGGAAGCCAGTGTGGGTGAGAACCAGCCATGCAGTGGTCAGGAGGAGCAGCAGCAGCAGCAGCCCTCAGCTGCTCCAGAAGGAGACTCAGCAGCTGCAGATCCCGACTCCTCAGCCACTCTGAAACCTAAAGAGCCAGTGGAGACGAGCTCTGAGAATAGAGACAGAGGGGAGGCAGAGCAGCAGGAAACCGAGGGGGGAGGAGGGGGAGAGAGTGATGGAGAGGAGGGGAAGGGAGTGAAGAGGAAGAGAGAGGAGGTGCACAGGGAGGAAGAGGCGGGACAAAGCACTGAGAAGAAAAAGGTAAGAACACTTTTCCAACTCAATATGGAAATATAGTCAGTCACTCTGCCACTCACTCACCCACCCACCCACCTCATTTAGTCAGTCCCTCAATAACTCAGTCAGTCAGTCAGTCAGTCAGTCAGTCAGTCAGTCAGTCAGTCAGGTGTTTATAAAAAAAAAAAAGTTTCAGGTGATATAAAGACTGACAGTGTAAGATACAGTCAGAACCAGCAAACAGTCAAACTACAGTCCAGCCTGTATTAGAACAGTTACACATGTTTAGTGGAAATAACAGAATGGAGACTACAAAAAAGTCTCCACTTCATTTGAGTGAAAGACCCCCCCCCCTCACAGAGCATGTTGTCTCTCTGTCTGTCCCTCAGATGGATGATGAAGCCATGGCGTCCATGTTGGCTGATTTTGTCGCCTGTCCACCTGATGATGAAGACGGCGCCTCTGGATCGACCCGCTCATGAACTGACCTGATGTAACCGAGGTCAGCAGAGACGGTGTCATCAGTGACATCATGTAGTTACCTCATTAACTCCTCCCTCATCATTCTGGCGGTCTACAGTCGCTCAAACTGTAGAACATGGCCTCCAGGTTTCTTTCTTTGACTTCAGCTGCAGGACTTTTTTTATTTTACTGTCACACCTTCAGCTTGTTATTGACAGACTAGTTTAACATGAGCTAAAAGAAACAGTAGGTTTCCTCCAGCCCAGCAGGGCGCGGAGCTCTGTGAGGTATGTCACTCTGAACGCTAGCCTTTTGTTCCCGTTTACGGTACATGTTATCTACAGTTAGTGTATGAAGTACCCGTGTGTTTGGATTGATATGTACCTTCTGTGCTCTTCATGTTTCATGACTGTCATATTCTTTGTTATAAAAAGTAAAAGAGAAAATCAGGACCGCAGTTTTGACGATTTCATTGTTAATCAACAGTAAGTTAACATGCGTCTCCAGTGAGCACTTGTGATCAGATCTCACTTCCCTGCTTTATATGTAAATAAACATGAATGAGTTGTTGATTTTAGCCAATCTGAGATAGCAAAATAATTTTGCTTCATGATGAAACTGTGACAGAGCGTCAGTAGAGTAGTTGATACTTCAATGTGGCCTAGGACGCATTCACGTTCACACTGTTAAAAGAATGTGGCCACATGTGGTCCAGACCACCTCTGAATGTGGTCTGAGTGATCAGATGTCAAATACGTTCACACCTGAACTTAGAGCTGAACACTTGTGATCGGATCACCTGAGATGGATGTTCAGGGTCAGTGATGTCATCACAGAAACCACAGCTGTCTGTCCGGAGAGAGGAGGGAGAACTGAGCCTTTAACTATAGCTATATCAGCTGCTATAGTGTTGTGTTCTTGTAGTTAAACACAACAGACTTGTTGTATGGAAAAAGAACAGGAAATGATCAAATCTGACAGATGTCAATCAGACTATAGATACCTCTTATAATTAACGAAGACACCACAGAAGAAGATGAAATCTACTTGTTTCCCTGCAGCTGTCTGGAGCTGAACCTGCCAGTGTTCTTCAGAAGAACAAAATCAACTATTTTACAGTGTTGATGTTGACTGTTTATCATATAAACACATCTGTCGCAGTCTGAGCATGTTACACACCTGCTGAGAACCAGTGTTTAGTCCGGAAATGAGAATCATTTCACTCAGTTCACTGTGTCATTAACCAGGTTCTTCTTTAAGCTCAGTGTCACATCAGAGTTACAGTCTGGTATGTACAGGTCTGAGGAACCAAAGTCAGAAGTCAGGAACCTTTGAGAAATAATGTCATCAATAGTAATGAAATGAGCTTCATCTAAACTTCATTCATTTTACGAGGATCATCAGGATCACAGCTCCCCAGAAAACCTGTGAGTGACGTCACGGAGGCTACGTCCATCTTTATTTAAAGTCTATGACACACACAACAAAGTTCGTTGTTACACAGACAGACTCAAAACCTGCTTAGTGGTAGTCCCTGCTGCAGTAGGTGTCTCCAAGACCACAATTTGCCATGATGACACACACACACACACACATAACACACACACACACACACACACACTCACAAGGTGAAAACAGTACCGGCCACATTCTGTCACTGCTGGTAATCAGACCAGTTTTTGCTGTGACCCCCCTTTGCCTTTAAACCAGCTCCAGTTCTCCTTAGTACACCCGCTCTGAGTTTTTCAGGTTCTTATCACGTAGGTGGTTCCAGCATCTTGGAGAACCTGCCTCAGTTCTGGTTCAAACTGGTTCACTCAGTTCAGTACAAATCCAGACTCGCACATTTGGAAACAATATGTGAAATCCAGCTCTGAACATCTGGGACAGGGAGAACAAGTAACAAAGCCTGGATCACATGATTGTATTACCATAGTAACATGAAGTTTACTCAGGAGGACTGTCTTCATGAGTTCTCTCTCTCTCTCTCTCTCTCTCTCTCTCTCTCTCTCTCTCTCTCTCTCTCTCTCATCACTGTCTTCTCAGTCCTCCTCCACCCTGCTGACTCACAGTTTCCTTCAGGTCCACCATTTATGGATTCATGGATTCTGTCCATGAATTTTGTCTATCCAAAAAAAAAAAAAAAAACATCTGTCCAGATCCAGTGAATCCTGCTCCACATCTCGTCCCTCCAGGTTTTCCGCCTCACCTCCTCTTCACCACCGCCAGTGTGTGGACCGTGTTCAGGCTGTTTCATGGCCCCATGATGGAGGTCTGATCACTAAAGACTCCTCTCGTATTACTTTCCCTATCGTGCACGCTGTCATATAAATCTAATATATAATAACAGTATGACACTATCAGAGATTAGAGTAAAGAATAAATAATCTGTCCAGCAGAGGCTGTGATATTTTCCTTCTCATGGTTCACACATCAAAAACTCTATTTCGCTAGCTATTTCTAGTTACGCCACAGGTAAGTGTCTCTGTGTTGGAAAGTCCACAGTTTGTAACTCAGGTTTTCTGTCATGAATCTGTAGTTTCCAGGAGCAGATGACATCATTGTGACATCATCAGGTTTTATTTTGTCCAAGCCACAGTAGATATCACACACGTCTTTTGAACAGTGTGAACCAGGACTGGTGAACGTCGTCGTCCTCCAGAGTCTGTTACTACTGTGATTCACTTCCTCGATATTTTCATGTAAACATCCTGTTTACTCAAACCCTGAGAGGCTGGTGATTAAAAAAAAAAGAAAGAAATAACTACCAAAATGATCTTGGCAAAAAAAAAAAAAGAAACGTAGAAAAATGATCCTGGCGCTGCCTCAGAGCTTCTTCCATAGGAAGCAGAAAACAGAGCAGATACATGTTTTACTTTACAGAAATTATACAGGTACCTCTGCATAATGACAAATAATTATTTAGACTTTTCTAGGTAACTAAAACTCAGAAGATTCCGGTTTGGGTTTTGTTATATTTCAATGTAATTAGTTGAGGATTTTTCTCTCTGTTCTTTTATGAGGTGCTTGTGTTTTTAATGGGTGAAGTTGTTCCTTTAGGTGCTTGTACTGTAGGAGATTCTGATCTGAGGAGGTTTATCATGGTTTCTTTTCGGAGTGTTGTAACATTTCACTGCTGAAGTCTAGAAGAGCTTCCTTTACCATTCTTCATCAGCGCAGTGTGTTTCTCAACCTCACTTCATGCACTTCTTTAAATTCAGTCTGTGAGTTTTCACAGTTCATCAATAGTTTTGAAATGAGCTTCATCTAAACTTCGTCCATTGTATGAGGATTATCAGGATCCCAGCAGCAGTTAGGCTCATCAACATGTTTGTGTTCTCACTCAGGGGTCAGTCCACACCCACCTTCACACTCCGCCTTCATTTTTATCTTAACTACACGCCAAGCATCAACCTCCGAGGCTGAAAGATGAAGCCGACACTGAAGAACCAAAAGCTGCAGTTCCTCTAATGAGTCTGGCTCCAACAGTGAGTCAGTCCCCATCGACTCCCATGTTGAAATGTCCAACTTTACAGCAGAAATTAACATGTTTACAGCCTGGTACAAAAACACTTTTGGTCTCTAGAGCTAATTTCCTCCTTCATGATGACTGTTTATATAACTCAGCTGTTTACATTTAAAGTTATGTAGAATTGAGGGCATGGCTTTGAGTGACAGGTGGTCTCAGCTCCACACACGTCCCACCTCTGTCCATGTTGGATTAGGGGTGGAGTCAGGTACTGGCAAGATGGCGAAGGTGGAGCAGCTCACTCTGAGCTTCAGAACCGCTCCCCAGAAAACCTGTGAGTGACGTCACGGAGGCTACGTCCATCTTTATTTAAAGCCTATGACACACACAACAAAGTTCGTTGTTACACAGACAGACTCAAAACCTCCTTAGTGGTAGTCCCTGCTGCAGTAGGTGTCTCCAAGACCACAATTTGCCATGATGACACACACACACACACACACACACACACAGACTCACAAGGTGAAAACAGTACCGGCCACATTCTGTCACTGCTGGTAATCAGACCAGTTTTTGCTGTGACCCCCCTTTGCCTTTAAACCAGCTCCAGTTCTCCTTAGTACACCCGCTCTGAGTTTTTCAGGTTCTTATCACGTAGGTGGTTCCAGCATCTTGGAGAACCTGCCTCAGTTCTGGTTCAAACTGGTTCACTCAGTTCAGTACAAATCCAGACTCGCACATTTGGAAACAATATGTGAAATCCAGCTCTGAACATTATCATGGTTTCTTTTTGGGAGTGTTGTAACATTTCACTGCTGAAGTCCAGAACCAGAAGAGTTTACTTTACCATTCTCCATCAGCGCAGTGTGTTTCTCAACCTCACTTCATGCACTTCTTTAAATTCAGTTTGTGAGTTTTCACAGCTGTCACTCTGTGACGTGACTCTTATCTGACCTTGCGGTGCTCACATATTGGACCAACTTCCCTTTTTGTAACTCAGTGTGGTGGGGGTGTGACTGCATGTGTTTGAGGGCGAGAGAGATGAGGCTACACAAAGGACTGATTGAGGGCAGAGAGAGGCAGTCTGTAGAGTGAAGGAGCGGTGGAGAGACTGAGCTTGCAGCGGAGACGTGTGAACAGACACAAAGAGGAGAAACAGGACGCGAGGGGAGAAGAGGAAGTGAGAGAACCAGAGCCAGGGCGGGAACCAGAACCAGGACCAGAGGAGACCTGCAGGACAGAAGAGGAGAACCTGATCCTCAGCTCTGAACACGGTCAGTGTTTCTGGCTCCTTACAGACTCAAAGAGGTTACTTACTCCAGTGTGACATTCAGCTTCTGCATCAGTTCTTTTCTGAACTAAAAACAGGTTTTATATCAGATATCATTATGTACTCATTATCTTTGCATATGCAGCTTTTTCCTGCATTTATATCACCAGCAGCTGTCATCCTGTCCACATGTCAAATATTAGTCCTGTAGTGAAGGTGCAGTCCTCGGAGGAGTGAAGGGGTCTGAGTGTTGCATTCAGTGACCTCTCTGTTGGCTCAGAGGAGCAGCTGCCTCACCAATGTTACATAACTTTATGTCTGCTGATTTAATATTTTATATAACAGCAGAACTGAGCTGGGATCAGATTCCTGTCAGTGAATGGATCACACTTTAACACACACACACACACACACACACACACACACAGGGGTCGTAGAGTCTGAGACCACTTCTTAATTGAAAGTGATGTGGTTGTCAAAATAACGCGTTCATTTAATAATGAATATAATTAATTGATAACTTTTTGATAATTGATCATTTATTTTTTAAAAATAAGGTAACGTATTAATCACTCTCTATGATGCTGATGGAAACTTGAGGCACAGTCTTGTTTATACCAGGTGAACAGTGGCTGCAGGTAAACTTACCTGACCCACCTGAACCTCAACTGCTTCAATAGAAGAGACACAATTGAAGGAAACCTGACCCACAGTACAGAGATCAGCTGGTCTGTGACCCAGATTTACTTCAGCCACTGATCCAGAATCAGTTCAGAATCTGAAATGTCTCTCCTTCATTAACACAGTGTGTCTTTAAATGTTTCTGAAACTTTCTCATTATTTCATATGAAAATATCAAAGATATCACGTGGCCCTGAGAGTTGAAAATGATCTGTTCGCCATCTTATTTAAATGTCTGAACAACAATCATTGTGCATCACTGTGCAAATATTAATTTACATTTTTGACAAGTCACAGATACATTGATCCTGAACGCCTCAGTCAAATGTGTTGTTACAGTTCAACATCCTGTTGCAGTGACTCTCTGGGCTCCTGGTTCATGATCCTGGTCTAGTTTCATACAGAAAACAGTTCACATCATGTTTATTTACATTAAACCATTAAACTTCCATCTGTCACTAATGATAAAGATTCAGTGTCTGAACCTGGACCACAGACAGAACTGTGAACCTCCATCCAGTCCACCCTCCTGGAACTCAGCTGTTAATTGATGTTAATTAATGTTCGTTCAGTCGAAACGTCTCCTCTGAACATGATCCATATATATATATATATATATACTGAGAACAAGTGTTTAACAAGCATATTAACCAAGTATCGTGTGTGTTTTATCTCGTTCTAACTTCCTGTGTCAGTTGTTCTTCGGTGGATTGTCTTAGTTTATCTCTGATCACAGTCTGATCCTGAATCTGACAAGGAAACATTAGAGCGTCCTGTTTACACAATTTTATGTTATATTTCATTCATTTATTTTGATCTTCATCGGTCACTACCAAGGCAGCACCTACTCTCCCTGGGCTCCACTCAGTAAACACGACATCATAATGCAAAACAATGTAAATCAAAAAAAAAAAAAAAACTAAAACAAGAAAATAACAACAAAAACGAACAACAGTAAAAAATAAATAAATAAATAATAACAACAGTCTTTAGTTGGTCATTAAAGACATGAGGATTCTTTCTTTCCTGTGTTTTATTAGAAATATTTTATTGTCTAAAATACCAAATGTCCTGTACCATCACTTTTTATATTGGAGTAATGGACACAACTTTAAAATGACACCTGCAAGAGGTTTTTTTTTTACTTCTCTCAGAAGCTAATGCGAGGAAACGTACTGTCATGTACAGAGGAATGAAAAGATGGAATAGTTCACCATCAGATATTTCACACTTGACAAACGAAAATGTTTTTGAACAGAGTTTAAAGATACCAGTTGCTCCACAAACAGGACATGTTTTATTACATAATATCTGACCTTATGATCATTAATCATTCAGTTTGAGCGGGACTTCCATGTTCCAGTATGGAAACTCCTCATTGTTGTTATTAAGATAAGATAGGATATTCATTTATTAATCTCACAGTGGGGAAATTTACAGTGTTACAACAGCAAAGTGAAGATAGAAAAAAACATCATCTGAAAAGATTAATAATATAATAATATAATATATACAATTAAAAGACTTAGATATAACAAAAAAAAAGAAAAAGTAGCAGCAGATAAGTGAATTCCACACGCTGAGTTACATTATTGCAAATAGTAATCGTCAGTCTTTATAATGAATTCTTGAATTCATTTGAGTGAATCATTGTTTTGTATAATGATGTCATATTTACTTGCGTTTATCCCATGAAGAGTAGAATAAACAAACAAATAAATAAATACATAAATAATCAGTGATGATCAGAGTGCTGTGAACACAGACTCTGATACTGGTTCAGGGTCACATCCTCCGTGGGTGGTGAGTGCTCACTCATCTGTTGTTCCACCGGATGATTTACATCAGAGCGGTTTACACATTTGATTACTCATGAGATAATATTCAAATGATTACCAAGAATTTACACAGACAGCAGCTCATCACACAGAGCGCAGGTCAACAACAGGTAATTAGTCATTGATTAATGTGACACCTGGATGATGTTCAACTGTGGAGACTACAGGGTCCATATCAAACTGTTACATACTGACAGGTCTGTAGTTTAACTTCTTCTCAGCCATGTGAAACTGAACTGGAGGAGACAGAGTCAAGTGACAGGCAGCTGAGGGGTGAGGTGAGACCACTGATCCTGGGTGGGTCCAGGTCACAGTTAAGGTGCTGCAGAGGTCTGTGCAGGACTGTCAGCTTCCTTCACTGTAAACTGGGGAAACCAGCTGACTCTGTCCAGGAGACTCTGTCCTGTTGAATCAGAGAAGAACCAGACCTGGACCTGGAGCTGAAACATATTGTTATCTATCATATTATTGAGAGGTGGAGCATGAAGCCTTCCTCTTAGATCTAACAGGAACTATGTGGTTTAACCCACACCAAGAAAACCAAAACCACTTCCACCAACATGTAGCGCTGGCAAAGCTTTAGACCGCCTGATTCACCGTTTCACATCAAGATTATATCAGGTTTTGGATTTTTAATTAGTTTTTATTTTATTTATTTATTTATTCAGTTTAGTTTGAATTTGTTTTTAAAGCAGGTTTTCTTTAGTTTCGTTTGGTTTTTATTAGTCTCAGTGTTAGTTTGAGTTCTTTTGTAACGTGTATGTGTATGTGTATGTGCATGTGCATGTATGTGCATGTGCATGTGCATGTGTATGTGCATGTGTATTTGCATGTGTATGTGTATGTGTATGTGCATGTGCATGTGTATGTGCATGTGTATGTGCATATATATGTGCATGTGTATTTGCATGTGTATGTGTATGTGTGTGTGTATGTGTGTGTGCATGTGCATGTATATGTGCATGTGTATGTGCATGTGTATGTGTATGTGTATGTGTATGTGTGTGTGTATGTGTATGTGCATGTGCATGTGCATGTGCATGTGTATGTGTATGTGTTTGTGTATGTGTATGTGTATGTGTATGTGTATGTGTATGTGTATGTGTATGTGTATTTGTCAGGGGCCAGATTGTGTGATAAAAACTAAACCAACCAACATTAACTGTAGATCTGGGCACAAACATGTCAACAGTCGAGACAAGGCGCAGCCTGGAGTGTAAATGTGTGTAGCTGTGTTTCTGAGATGAGACGCAGGTCGAGTCAGTCTGAGACAAAAACCTGAAAAACTCAACAACTAACAAACTCTGAGGTTTGATTTTCTTCAGATGAGTGAACTGGACCGTCCAGCTGCAGCTCTGTGACTCATCACTGCAGCTAATTAACAGTGAAATACTTGACATCATTGATGCAGTTAAAAGACAGAATTTCTTCAAATTTGGCACAAGGATGAACTACACTGTGACATCATAATGTTCTACAAAAACACTTCTGGTCATTGTTCAATACTGTAACTCAGGAAAGGGAGACTCAGACCATATTTCCTGATACTTGGTTGGTTGATGGAGGAAACAACTGTAAGGCAGATGTCTTTTTATGTTATTTACTCTGTTAGCTTGTGAGGCCTCTACCACAGAGCTGAGCTGTTGTCTTTAGATTTATCAGCTTCACAGTAACAACAGTAATATCTGACTGAGACAAACATTAAGGTTGTGCTCAGATGCGCAGGCAACTGCTTGTGGTCTCAGGCTGTTGGGGGCCCCTGAGGGCCCCTGAGGGCCCCTGAGGGCCCCTGAGGGCTGACAAACGTTAACCAACAGCAATGTCCCAAAATGTAGCTCTTCCCCCCGAAACAACCAATGGATGTATGTTATCAAGTGTTTTCAGTGAAGCTGAACATATTATTTATAGATAAATAAATTACACTAAACTGACTGTAACTACCTATACAATTTTAAATTATTATTTTAAATCACCTCTTAAAACACATTTTTTATAGACTTTCTTTTATATGATGTCGTCCTTTTATTGTCCTTTGACTGTGTGTTTTGCCCATTCACAGCTCACTCACATCTTTATCTGGCTGCTGATTGGTCGACTGCTGCTTTGCCCTGCCCACCGAACACTGCTGTCCAGACAATCAGTGGTAATCCTCTTTACAGTGTGTTGTACAATGTTTTGATGAACGTCAACAGCTAGATAGAAGCTGTCATACTCAACATACTGTGTGTGTGTGTATGTGTGTGTGTGTGTGTCCATGTCCTCAGATGGAGGTCTACAGTGTAACAGTAGCCACTGGTACATCACAGTATTCAGGCACCAACAACTATGTGTTTGTGACCCTGGTGGGGGAGAGAGGGGAGAGTGAGCGCACCCTGCTGGACAACCCTGGACTGGACTTCTGTCGAGGAGCAGTAAGACTCAGCTCCAGTCAGCACACAGTTTATCTTTACGTCCTCTTCTTCTTCTGTTTCTTTATTCATGTTTGGTTTGTAGTTTGTAAAGATATTTTAACTCCACAGTCTGACGATGAATCTTCGACTCTGACAGTAGGAATTAAAGTGAAATGATGGTTGTTGTTTCCCTTAAAGAAATACAATCCATACTTTTTAATTAAAGGAGCTATTTGTAACTTTTTCTATTGCTACATAGCTAATGTTAGCATCAGCAGCTGTTTACTTACCAGTCTCGAAGAAACATTGTGAGGTTAGCATGTTTACCAACTAGCCCAGGTCCAGCAGGCCCATATTATTACTGATACTAAGTCATTGTATTGTCCAGTCTTTTAAAAACAACGATGGCTGAAGGTCTTGGTGAGACTGGTAAGTAATCAGCTGTTAATGCTACGCTAATGTTGGCTATGTAGCAATAACAAAACTTACAAATAGCTCCTTCAAATATCTTATCTGCAACACAACGGTGAAAAGCAGAGTTGTTACCTTCTGGATCTGATTTACTCAGTCTGGAAAATTTAAGACCTTCAGGACCAGCAACCAGGTTCCTCCTGGTCACCTCTCAATTAAATTTAGCAAAAAAACGTGTTACAGGAAAATATACTGTTGCTTTGCAAGTCAGGACCAGAATCTTTGTTTGTTAGCAGCAAGTAAAGGAGTTCAAGATCGTCGGGGTCCTGCTGAGGGTGAGTAGGACCAGACAGACATAGTGAGGAGGGAAGTCTGAAGGTGAAGCTCTTGATTCACAGATCGATCTGCTACCCCTCACCTGTGGACATGAGCTTTAGGTAACGACTGAAAGAATGAGATATAAAGTTTCCTACACCAGCAGGCTGAGCTCAGTTGGTGAGTAAGGAGCTCCAACATCAGGACAGAGCTTGGAGTAGATCTGTTGAGGTGGTTTTGTGTTCTGATCAGGATTTCTCCTGGACCTCTCTCAGTGGAAGATTTCCTGGTGCATCCAAATGTGAGGAAGATCCGGGGGGAAGACCCCAAACCCACTGGGGGTTTTACATTATGATTCAGTCAGTGAATCTTTTAGTTTGAATGCAGCAGTGTTTAGTGTTTGTCAACCTTTCTTTCTCCGTCTTCATCCACCTCCGTCAGGTGGACCAGTACAAGGTGACCAGCCCCTCCCCTCTGGGTTCTCTGCTCCTGGTCAGACTGGAGAAACAGAGGTACTGGGTGGAAGACAACTGGTTCTGTCGCTACATCACGGTGGAGCCTCCAAGTGGAGACAAAGTCACTTTCCCCTGTTACCGCTGGCTCGTAGGAGACATCAAGGTGGAGGTCAGAGCGGGAACAGGTAGGAAGCATCATGTTTGCCCCGATGGACACTTTTTGTTTGGACATCTGATTCATTTCCTGTTTTATTTTGTAATATAGTTCCTTGTGTGTCCAGTGTTTTTACTTCCTGTCTTGTGTCCCCCCCCCCCCTTGTTGATTGTGTGCCCCACCCTAACTTGTTTCACCTGTGTTCAATCATCCTTGCCTCCCTGGTGTGTATTTAGTTTCTGTGTGCTCCAACGTGTCTTTGTCAGTCTGTCTGTCGACCTACTTTGTTCTCCAGTTCTGCTCATATTTCTCTCACTCTGTGAAGTTTCTGTTTGTCGTGCTCCCGAGTTCTTGGATTTTGTCTCTGCCTGTTTTTTTTTTTTGGATTCTTGTTTTTGTAAGTTTCTTTCTGTTATTAAAAGACATCTTTTTTCAGTATTCATCTTTTTCAGTATATTCAGTATTTCCACCAAACGTGACAGGAAGAGATTCGGCTGTTAACATGTTGTCAAGGTGCCTTTGGGCAAAGCTGCCAACCCCTAACTGATCCATTAGCAGCAGCACTTACATTGCAGCTGTGGGGAGAAGGGTTGATCATGAACCTCTGTAGGCCTGAACTGCTGGTAAGAGTCCACTGTCCTGTCTCCTCAGCTAAGACACTGAGGGACGAGTCCTTATCTCAGCTGCTGGAGCACAGGAAGACAGAGCTGCAGGAGAGGCAGAAGATTTACAGGTCCAACAACACAACAACAACAACACAATGACACAACAACAGAACAATAACATAACAACACAACACATCAACAACACAACAGCAACACGGCACAAAGCTTCACCCTCCAGAGGGGATGTGTTAAAGGTTTCATGTGTTGTATTTCTATGGTCGTGTGTGTGTGTGTGTGTGTGTGTGTGACAGATGGGTAACGTGGGCTCCAGGGATTCCCAGATGTATTGATGCTAAAACAGAAGCAGATTTACCTCAAGATGTCCGCTTTGAAAACGAGAAGAGGAGCGACTTTGAACACTCTTTACAATTCGCGTAGGTGGTGCGCACACACACACACACACACACACACACACACACACACGGTATCCTAACCATGTGATGCACCGTTCCTTCTCAACAGCTTGCTGGAGTTGTCTCTGAAGAAGTTGGCCATCAGGTTTGGGAAGTCCTGGAATGACCTGGATGATTTCAAAAGGATCTTCTGGAAGCTGAAAAGCCCCATATCTGGTGGGTGGCTGACAGCAGCTGATGTCAGCCATGACATACAGCCTCTCATACTGTTTTCTGTTAGTTGATGCTAACGTCTGGAAAATCAGGAACACAATGACAATCTATCAATTAAATTATTAAAGACTAAAGCTGAATTACTTTACTCTAACATGTGACCTTTGCCCATTGACCATTAAAATCTAAGTAGTTCATCCATGAGTCCAAATGGACAGTTGTTCTGTATTAAAAGTGATTCCCTTAAGGTGTTCCCTCCAAGATATTGCATTCACAAGGCTAAAACTGTGTTTTGTGAGGTGATTGTGACCTTGACCTTTGACCTTTGACCATTAAAATCTAAGTAGTTCATCCATGAGTCCATATGAAGGTTAGTACCAAATTTGAAGAAAATTCCCTCCAAGTGTTACTGAGATATCGCATTAACAGAAATGGGACATACTTGTCCAATTCTTCCTACATACGAACACACTGTAGGTAAGTAGGTTTGTGCGTAGGGACAGACAACTTCAAAACATAATGCCTCCAGTCCTGGCTGTTGCCAACGTGTTATACAGTAATTACGTATACAGTAATTTCAACCCTTTCAAAACACAACTGTTATTCAGTGTCTTTTGTAGTGGGCAGAAGGACTAACTAACTGTAGCTGACCAGTGACGTTTGCACTTCTCTCTCAAACTCTTTTTTTCTTCTCATTCTTCAGACCTACTTTCTGTCTGTAGTACCATGTCTGTGAGAGTAGACTGCCCTAAAGTGTGTGGCATTATGCTCACTTTTGCCTTTGGACACGTCATACATACGTCTGGTTTGTTTGAAGCCTCAGGCCTCAGGCCTTTGTCTTTTGAGGTCAAGAACCTATGGTAACCCCAGAGTTAGCTGGCTACTGTTCAGTAGCAGCAGATATGTTGGTCTTCATTAAACAACTGACACATTTTGACTCAAATGACAAACAGGTAAAGCTAGCAGTTAGCTGGTTTGTCAGCTGAGTGGATAATAACATTAACTGCAGTAGATATGAACATCTCTGCAGTCAAAGCTGAGGTTCTGCCCGATGTCTGCATTAGCTTCTGTTCCATCAGCCTATATTACACCATGTGTTTTCCCACAGAGGTCATCTATCACCACTCTGTTTCAAGCTAACAGACATTGAATCAAAACCTCAGATGATGTAGTTGTTCAGTGCTAACACAATAAATATATAAGGCTGCTTACACCTCTACAGTAGTTTATACACATTCATCAGAGTATCATCGCTCACTCAGTCTATATGTGTTTGACTCAGAGTACTGTATGGAGCACTGGAAGGAGGACTGGTTTTTTGGCTACCAGTGTTTGAACGGCTCGAACCCCAGGATGATCCAGAAGTGCAGGAAGCTGCCAGAGAACTTCCCTGTCACATCAGACATGGTCCAGAGCTCCATGGCTCCGGGGACCAACCTGGACAAAGAACTCAAGGTGGAGAAATCCATACCTCTGTCTATAGAGGCTTTAATGTGCTGTGAAACTGCAGAATGATTTCATATTCCCTCCTCCCTTCATGTCCTCAGTGTGTCTTCTTCTCTCCTGTCCAGGCAGGGAACATCTACTTGTTAGACTACGCCATCATGGACGGGATCCCCTCCAACACAATCAAGGGTAAACCTCAGTACATCGCTGCTCCGCTCTGTCTCATGTACCAACACCCAGATGAAGGACTCATACCTGTTGCTATACAGGTATGTATCATTTACACATAGACCAGCACTGACATACTGACTGAACTCAACATGGTACTGATGTTCACACAATCACACATGCAGAGTTTATTTACAGTGAAACTTGATTAGTTGTGTTGTTGCAGCAGCAGCACTGAGTAGCAGAAAGCATCAAAGTCTGTAGTCTTTAGTTACCGGGAGATGGGTTTTTTTTTCAGAATTTGTTATTAGATGGTTAATTTTTTAATGGAAGTCTGACAATATGAAAAACTTAAAAAAGAAAAATGCAACCTGACAAAAATATTGACATAAACTTGAGAATATTGCATGTAAATCTGAGAGAATTGTATAAAGATCAGAGATTAGTGAATTAAGATAAGAGAAAGCTGAATGTAAATACAAGAAATTAATGAAAATATAAAAATATTACTTGTGAAAAGTCTTTCAAAATCAATAAATAATGCAAACATAGGACATATGTAGGAAATTCTCAGAATATAAAAACGTGAGAACATTTTATAAACTGCACTGCACTACACTACGCTACACTACACTACACTGCACTGGACTACACTACATATCACTGTACTACACTGCACTATACTACACTACACTGCACTACATATATCTGTACTACACTACACTACACTGCACTGCACTACATATCACTGCACTACACTACACTGCACCACACTACACTGCACTACACTACATATCACTGTACTGCACTACATATCACTGCACTACACCACACTACACTGCACCACACTACACTGCACTACACTACATATCACTGTACTGCACCACACTGCACCACACTACACTACACTGCACTGCACTACACTATACTTATCTGAACTTAAATGATCTAGGTGTATATGTGTAAAGTTTTAGTTCCCTTTTGTGGGGGACCAGGACTGAGTGTAATAGTTTCCCTTCCTCATTCTCAGCTGGAGCAGACTCCAGGCCTGGACTCCCCCATATTCCTGCCCAGAGACCCACCTTTGGCATGGCTGTTGGCCAAGATGTGGGTGCGTCACTCTGAGTTTCAGGTGTTCCAGCTGCTGTCTCACCTGCTCAGGACTCACCTGGTGATAGAGGTGTTTTGTGTGGCCACTCTTAGGCAGCTGCCTGCGGTACATCCTATATATAAGGTGAACAACCACACCATTGCTACTGACTAATTATTTCCAGTCTCTTCCACGTGATTTTTTAACTGTTAAGCTACTGTCAGTGAGACTCAACACCTGCACAGATGTTTCACATTAAAAAGCCTTCCAGAGAATCAAAGAACATACCCCTCCCTTTACTGGCAGCTTTTAATTTGAAACATCTGTATTGACAGTACACAAGCAAATGGCAAAGTAGAGACAAGTGAAAGTAATAAATGCTCAAAACAGTCTTTATGTTAAAAAGGAGAATTCAACATGACTCTGTTGCTGTAGTGATGAAATTATAACAGAGATATTATACTGTGGTTATTCCACCTTCATTAGCAACGCTTTTGTGTTGTTTGTTATTTGTGACTTTGTCATGTGAGAATGTGGTTGTTAGCTAAATGCTGTAGCTAACACAGTCGCGCTGTAACCTGAACAGTTTTATGTCTTCCTGTTGTAGCTCTTGGCCCCTCATCTGCGCTACACTCTAGAGATCAACTGTAGGGGGCGCACTCAGCTCATCTCTCCTAATGGCATCTTTAAGCGGGTGGGTCACTCTGAAACAGAAAGTGTTTTATGGATGTTAGAACTTATTTGATGTGGACTTGACAAACCTCAGCACAGACTATCATAGTTACCAGGACCTCAACCTCATCACAGTCACAGTATTGATCTTGGATGTCTTGTATTAAACACTGTTGATGATTACAGTGATGTTTGTTTGTTATCACTGTGGTGATGATCATGTGTGTGTGTGTGTGTGTGTGTGTGTAGGTTGTGTCCACAGGTGGTGATGGCCTGTTGATTCTGGCTCAGAGGGAGTACAAGGTGCTGACCTACCGCTCCCTCCAGCCCCACAAAGATTTTGCTGACAGAGGAGTGTCTCAGCTCCCAAAGTATTTCTACAGAGAATACAGTCTGATGCTCTGGGACGCCATACACAGGTAGACAGCGCCATGTAGATACTAACACACCATGTAGATACTAACACACCATGCTGATACTAACACTCCATGCTGATACTAACACGCCATGCTGATACTAACACATGGGAAACTGACAGGAGCAGATATGATCTGTGTTGATGACTGACAGGACCGGAAAAAAGAACTTTAATCATGTCAATAATCCTGTGTTGTCTAAAAATACTCCTTGAGTATTTTCATATCTTTCATATCACAGCTGAATTAATATCTTCATTAGATGAACTTTTATCAGTTGAATATAATCAGTGGCACATTAACTGGGACTTTCAGAGCCATAACCTTCTCATCTGAGGAAGCTGGAATATTAAGATTGTGAATGAACTGTTTATATAAACTTTAATGAAAAGAGATATCAGAATAAAATACACCATAAGGTCTAGATCCTTCAGTCCTCCCAGGGATCAACAGCTACACTGAGGGATCCTGGTGTAGTTGATACTGTACGTCTTTCTGTATCTTGGTTTAAGCGGTGTCTTCTTGATTCTCCCAGCAGAGGTCGACAACATCTGACATGTTCAAACCCTTCTCATCAGATATTTAGAGTTCACTAACTGAATCTAACTCTTCCCTCAGTTTTGTTTCAGGTATGGTGGACCTGTTCTACCAGTCAGACTCCGACATGCAGGAGGACCAGGAGATCCAGGCCTGGATCAGAGACATATCACAGGAGGGCTTCACAGAGCTCCCCAACTTTGGTGAGTCATTAGTATCCTGTATCTTCATCCTTAATACTTGACACAGATCAGTGATGATGCAGTCATGTAAAGCATTTAAAATGGGATAGTTCACACTAAGAGCAGATGATGTATTGCGTGTACAGGATGTGTATCTTCTAGCTGATGATGGTTTATTTCAGGTCTGCCCAGTACGCTCAGCACCAGAGAGGAACTGTCCACCCTGCTGACGGTGGCCATCTTCACCAGTACAGCCCAGCATGCTGCCACTAACAACGGACAGGTGCTGAGCACACACACACACACACACACACACATTCACACACACTGTGACTATGAATCAGCATGAATGAACTGGACTGATTTTAATTCAGGAAGGGATCGGCCCCTCGTGAATACTCATTTATTATTTTAGTTTGACTGGTGTGCCTGGGTCCCCAACACCCCCTGCACCATGAGGCAACCCCCACCAACAGACAAGGATGCTGTTACCATGGAAATGATCATGGCCACCCTTCCTGACGTCAGCCAGTCCTGTGTGCAGATGGCGATCACATGGCATCTGGGGCGAGCACAACCAGACGCTGTGAGTTATTTTCTCAATAAAAACGAGTTTATGCAGAACATTATGATGTCACAGTGAAGTTGACCTTGGACCTTTTGGATATAAAATGTAATCACTTCATTTTATCCTTCCTCCCTACACATTTGTGTAAAATTGTGTCATAATTAGCAATAAATATGTTTTCTGAGGTCACAGTGACCTTTGACCTTTGGCCACCAAAGTCTAATTAGTTCATCTTTGAGTCCAAGTGAAAGTTTGTGCCAAATGTGAAGAAATTCCCTCAAGGACATTTAGAGATGTCACATTCAGGAGGCCAAAACACATTATTGTGTAAACGTGTTGATCTGTAGCCCTCTAACTACAGTCCCACCTCGTTTGTCTGGGTTTGCTGAGCCCTGAGGGGAGCTGAGCAGCGGTGCCCTGGGGTTTTATGTGGGTGTATGGTTTCTACCTCTTCACTGAACGCAAATATGTCTCAGGGTTGAAAGGCAGAGCCTCAAAGAGGGTTAACCGATAGTGAAGCCTGTTTGAGGGCTACTTATGTACTCATAGAGCTGGAGTCTCATTACCAGTGGCTCTAAACCACTGCTAGTATTCATGACAGCATATATTCACAAGCATTATGGTCATAGACGCCCCCCCCCCCCTTACTCCTATGTCTTCTTCTGCCCAGATTCCTTTGGGCCAGTACACGGAGCAGCACTTCACTGAGGGCCGGGCTGTGGAGCTGATCGATGGGTTCAGAACAGAGCTGAAAGAAATCGAGGACCACATCCTGAGTCAGAATGAAGGACTGGAGCTGCAGTACCTGTTCCTCCTGCCGAGCCACATCGAGAACAGCATCACCATATAGAAATACAGACCACTCAGAGCAAGATTATTTTTGATTTTTCTGTTTTATTTTCATTTATTCATTTTTTTATTCATCATTGTTTTAAAAAAAAGATTGTAATTGCATCTACTGCGATTCAATGTAAAAATAAAAAACAAACATTTTCTACAAGTCAATGATTAGACATTTATGATTTGTATGACATTTTATTATTGAACAGGTAGTGTTGGTGCACCAGGAGAAGGTTGGCTGGTTTTCATCATTTCATTATGTTACTTAAGCAACAGATGATAGTGATATGTTCAGAAGCTGGGAAGTCTGGGACATGATTCAGGTTTGAAATATGAGGACTTGATGACAACAACTCCAGATAAGATGAGGGCCAGTTTTGAAGAAATGGAAAATTCAGTCCTGCATCTCTACAGTCCAACAGCTAACTCACAGATCCTACTGAGACACAACCAGAGACCATGAACTACAGAGAAAACAATTTAATAACTTCATCTAATGACTAATATTACAGTCACAACTGGATACTGGTAACAATCTGAAATACATTCTCTTGTGCAGTACAGTCAGTACAGACAAAATAATTTACAATATTTAAATACTCTGACAAGAGGAATCATTCAGACTCTGGAGAACAACTGAACTCTTCTGCAATCAAATAATTAAAGCACTTATTTTCAAAATTAATCTCTAATATGAAGGTGCAGAACATTCATGTCTCACAGCATCCACTCTCCTTCATGAGGAGATTTAAACCCTGAGACAGAGGCAGCTCAGAGAGCAGGTGATACCCTTCTCCTCCTGCTGCTGTCAGTGCTGCCGGGAGCTCGCCAGTCCAGCAGGTGGCACTAGTGCACCAGGTACGCCTGAGGAACAACAAATTAATTACATATGAGTACAAATTAACAATCCTTATTTCAATCCGTCTCTTAATCATCTGATCATCACAGATTATACTGATTCGGGATGGATTCAAATAGTTAGAACAATAACATATAGTTTGTTCAGTCCACCATGTTCCTGTTGTGTGGTGTAGTAAACACTTGAGCCTGGGCAGCTAGTGGAGCTTTAAGTCCAGACAGACAACAGGACTGAGTGACCTGGTGGTGACCTTCCTGACAGATGACTCTCTAACATGAACATGTGTTTCTGCTGGTCATCATCATCATCATGAAGATAAAATTACATCATGTTAAAAACAGCTGTGCTTCAAACTAACTTTACTGGATCATACCTCATTGTCTCTACTTTAAACTCACGATACCTGCATGAAGACACACCTCAACAGGTGTATTCTGGGTGAACCTGTCCTCTCTCTCACCTGTGTCATTCACTGATTGGACACTAAACTCAAACTCACCTTCTGTTGGTTGAGCCTCATCTGGCAGCAGGAGAAGGCCCCAACCAGGACGTAGACAGCAGCTGCTATGAAGCAGTTGTAGCCCACCTTGTTGTACAGCTCATAGATCCTCTGTGGGTAGTCTCTGTGGAGACAAACAAACACACCTCACACTCAACACTGTCCAAGTCACTTAGTTCACCCAAAGAACCATAAAAAATGTATTGATCCCTGAAGAGATATAATTAGTTACATTTACACAACATAAACATGATGTTTTCAGTGGAACACTGGTGATGTCATCAAGAGCTACAGTAGAACATTGGTGATGTCATCAAGAGCTACAGCAGAACACTGGTGATGACATCAAGAGCTACAGGAGAACACTGGTGATGTCTTCAAGAGCTACAGTAGAATACTGGTGATGTCTTCAAGAGCTACAGTAGAATACTGGTGATGTCTTCAAGAGCTACAGTAGAATACTGGTGATGTCTTCAAGAGCTACAGTAGAATACTGGTGATGTCTTCAAGAGCTACAGTAGAATACTGGTGATGTCTTCAAGAGCTACAGTAGAACACTGGTGATGACATCAAGAGCTACAGTAGAACACTGGTGATGTCATCAGAGCTACAGCAGAACACTGGTGATGTCATCAAGAGCTACAGTAGAACACTAGTGATGTCATCAAGAGCTACAGTAGAAGTATATCGAGGTCATTCTGAGCTACAGTAGAACACCATCAAGAGCTACAGAAGAACTATTACGAGGTCATATGAACACTGATGATGACATTAAAAGCATTAAAAGCTACAGTAGAACACTGATGATGTCATCAAGAGCTACAGTAGAACACTAGTGATGTCATCAAGAGCTACAGTAGAAGTATATCGAGGTCATTCTGAGCTACAGTAGAACACTGGTGATGTCATCAAGAGCTACAGAAGAACTATTACGAGGTCATATGAACACTGATGATGACATTAAAAGCTACAGTAGAACACTGATGATGTCATCAAGAGCTACAGAAGAACTATTACGAGGTCATATGAACACTGATGATGACATTAAAAGCTACAGTAGAACACTGATGATGTCATCAAGAGCTACAGAAGAACTATTACGAGGTCATATGAACACTGATGATGACATTAAAAGCTACAGTAGAACACTGATGATGTCATCAAGAGCTACAGTAGAACACTGGTGATGTCATTAAGAGCTACAGAAGAACTATAACAAGGTCATATGAACACTGGTGATGACATTAAGAGCTACAGTAGAAGTATAACGAGGTCATATGAACGCAGGTGATGTCATCAAGAGCTACAGTAGAACACTGGTGAAGTCATCAAGAGCTACAGTAGAACACTGGTGATGTCATTAAGAGCTACAGTAGAACACTGGTGATGTCATTAAGAGCTTCAGTAGAACACTGGTGATGTAATTAAGAGCTACAGTAGAAGTATAACTAGGTCATATGAACACTGATGATGACATTAAGAGCTACAGTAAGAGGCCTCTAACCCACTGGGACAACCTGTACAGATGTTTTACTGCTCGTCTGTTTCTTATGTTGTTGTTCTATTCTATAAAGCGTACTCCATCTCATCGTAATGATGAAAGTCACCCGATTCCTAATCAAACTGTTCTTCATATGAACTTAAAGTGTCTTCACCTACAGCATCACTCCGCAGTGTCAGCAACTGGAGCAGAAAACAGAGACAGAACAGAAGAGCTCACCTGAGCTGACAGGACAATGAGGGCTGATCACACTGAAGTGGTCCTATATGACCCATCAACTACACCACATAGAAAATACAGTTTGACTAATACTGGTTTTTGAGGATCATACTGATGTGATGACTGTGGAACAGCTAATAGTGTAACACAAACAACCAGTGTTGATATAGATGCTACAAACTGAGACATTTTACAGTGTGGACATTGACTCGTCAGCGACCTCTAGTGGACAAACTGCTGTGTTTTTTAAATGCCCTTAAAACCTTAGTTGGTATTTCTGTACTGCACATAACACATTGTTACATCTTAAAATTATATAAACCTATGTATGGGTGCAACTCTAACAGGTCTGTGACAGTAATGAAGCCTTGGTGCAGCTGCAGAGATCTGGGGTGAAGTGTTACAGTAGAAACTTACTCTTGGTGGATGTCGTTAGGTGCAGGCACATCCTCAATCAGTGTGGCTGAATGTACACTGAAGAAGATCCCGAGCATGGCCTGAGAGAGGAGAGGGACACAAGTAAACCAGGGCTGCAACAGTCAACATTAACTCACACTGTAGATTAAAGTGGAAATGAACTGAGACTCAGTCAAAGTAATATGCAGCTATATGATCACCAGATATTATTAAATTCTTTGAAAACAAGAAGAGTCTCCTTCGACATGTATTTTAAGTTATTGGTTCACAGTAACTTCTGATGATCTGGTTTACAAAGCTGTGAGCCTGGAGACCACATAACTACACACCTGTGTCTACTAACACAGTCTCATCAGAAACAGTGTTATCTGATTTTTTCTCATTAAAAAAATTATGAAACCGAATATGAATAAAACAGGTGTAAAAATAACATGACAAAAAAAGTTGAAATTTTTTCCTTCATACTGTATGTCATATTTCATTGCACCAAATTAACTTGAACAAACTAGCATTTTTTTTAAGTGCAGCATTTAACTACTATATACAGGCACTATATATGATATATAATATATAACATATGAGCCTTCAAAAAAATACAAGAAAAATATAAGTAAAACAAAACACATGAATATAAAAATAAGGTCATAAAATTAGAATTGACTAAAGTACAAAATAAATAAATAAAATAAAAACATCATAATAAAATCACAATCCAGTAACATCTCAGGTGTAAAAGAAGCTCCTGAGTTTCAGTGTTGGTACAAACCGTTGGAGCTATGTGGCTGAAACAGGCTCAGAGAAAAGTTGATTCAAGTTTATGTCACTTCATAGCTGTAGTTTGTGCTGCTGCTGAACTGTATAGTGACATTTTGTATATTTTTATTTTGTTGAGTCATGTGTACCTGGGGTCTGTTCCAGAGAGCAGGTTTAACAAGCCTGAACCTGAACTCTGAGCGAACATCAAATCAGGATAGTCATCTCCCCGCATAACCTCCTTTAAATTAATGTCTGTGATATTATTTTTGATACAGGCAGCATAAATGAGGAAATGAAGTGCTCTGTCAAATAGCTTCTTCAGGTTTCACAGAGACCCAGTCCTAATGTCCCCCCTCATGGATTCACAGACTCTGAGATCCATGAGGTCTTTGGACTGTCCCACTGTAAAACCATCAGGTGCATGAAGGCTCGCTATCAGACTGTCTGTATTTCTGCCCTGAATGTATTACAGCCATAACTTAATGATTAAACACGGGGTTACCGTGGTTACCAGGGAAAGCCCGGAAGTGTAATGGAAGGTAAATAACCACCATAAAACAGATCAACAAAGAAGAAAGAAGAACAGTTAACAGACAAGCACGAGAGTAACGAATCCAAACGTTAACGAGTTTACATGTGAGTATAAGGACAGAGCTCAGTGGTATCTCACAATCTCAACTATGTGTAGTTCTGTCCTGTGACGACATGACGGTGAGTTCAACATACGTTCATCAGCGAAGAGCGGAAGTAACAGAAGTATAATCATGCGCCAGGCGAGCAATTTAACTGAACAGGGGCCATTTTTAGATCCGGTATCCAATTCTTATAATACATCAATGAGTAAAATCAAAAGTCCCAAACCACAATTGTGCGCAACAAGTTTTGACCTCATCAGAGTAACGTGATATGTCAAACAGTGCTGTCACATTTCTCGTTATACTATTATGAGCCACTGCAGTCTCTCACACTGTGAGGGTTTGGAACCTAGGTTTGTAAGGAAAACCTGTCAGTGAGCAGGTTAGCTAACTGGTTAACAGGTTATTTCACAGAGTCAGTTAACGTGGTAACTGGTTAACAGTTTAGCTTCACAGAGTTAAAATTACCTTAGTCTCTGAAACTGAAAACCCAGGCTTTCCCTCATCTCAGAGTTCTCACTAAACCCACTCTCTGGAACACCCCCCTGTTCTGTATCTATGGAAACGAAGGTTCGATCGCCGGGAATAAAAAAAGAGAGAAGACACTCACCAACATTATCACCCCCCACGTGCTCAGTACAATCCCGCATGCGGCGCATTTAGGTCCACAAATGAGCCCGCGCATTATTAATGTAGAACATGAAAAAGGAGAGAGGGACAAACTGCTGCTCCAACTCAGGTCAAACTTCTGTCACGTGTTCAATCAAGTGTCTGAGACTGAACCCCGGAAGTTTCCAGGATGTCGAAAGAGTCACGTTTAAAAAGTTAGATGATTGACTTAAAACATCAAATATCAAAACAGGAAGTTAGTTCAAACATATATTTATTTAATGATTTGAATGAAACACGTCAGACTTTTATAATAACAGCGCGTCCTCTTCCAGGTGTTTTAAAAGTTTTCACATAAATTATCTTCATGTAAATATGAGAAAAGTCATGTGACTTTCCTCTCAATGACCGTGACGTGATGCTTTGCTGCGTTCTGGTCCTGTTGGAAATACAAACTCCCACACAGCCCAAACAGAAACAACATGATACAGTTCTGTCTTTAGTTGACCTTAGCTCTGTCTGATGCCTGTAGATGTGTTGGTCTATTAAAAACATGTTGTTGTTATGTGTTGTAAGTATTAAAAAAAAATCAGAGCCCTCAAAGGTGCAGGAGGTCAAAGGTTCCCCTCTATCTGGTGGTACAAAGACAAAGTGGTGCATCCAGTCTCGTTCTTATTGTGCTATAAAAAACATCTAGTTCCCTGTTTATTTCCAGGAAGCTACTCATGAACAGCTGACAAAGAGGTCTTGAAATGGGGACTCTTTGGGGACATTTAGGGGAAGTATGAAAGCTTTACAAAGAACTGATGATATTAATTTGTTTCATTTATTTTTAACACAGCCAACAGACAATAAAGTTTGCTTCAAATGTGCCAGAATGAACTAAATGTGTGTGATTTTCAGCTGAAATCTCCATCATCCCTCCAGAGCTCCACAAACAGAGAATCTATGACTAAAACACTGAAGCTTTTCTGGAGACTGAACCAGAACCAAGACTAGTCTGTGGTTTCTGCTTCATCTAACATAACATGATAAACATACATCTCATGCAGGCCTGGATGAATACAACCCTTTTTTTAATCTTGACTAAAGATCTAAGAACAAAACACTCCAGGACCAATGGAAACAGAAGTACACCCAGGAAGTAAAAATCATTGTTTGTGTTCCCACTGCATCAGAGGAGCTGTGAAGATCTGACCAATCAAATCAGACAGTGGTTGATAAAGTAATTTTGACAAAGAAACAACAAAGCAAAGTCAGACTATTGTTATTGTCCTGGTACTGAGAGGGATGAAACCCAAAATGATTTCTAACTGGTGCAAAGATAAAGAATAGCCTACTTTAAATATCAGCAACTTGTCTGGATTATGGATTATACCACAAAATACAAAATGTTTGATCAAAAAGAACAACTGTAAATGTAAAGCTTCTGGTCCCAAGCCTGGAATTGTCAAAAGGGATAATCCTCTAGGGACCATGAACATTAATTTGTTGATCCAAGAAGATCCACCTCAGTTGCTCTTTTGTTGAGACCACTTGCAGTTTGATTGTTAAGAATCACTGTAGCAGTGGTGGCGCAATTATAACCAGGATTCATTGTGTAACATCTTCAGCAGTGCACCAGAGCCTCTGTGGATTTGATTTTTGATTTAGCTTCATCTTTTAAGATGATGAAAACAGACACTTGACAGATGAATTGTGTGGTATACATTGTATGTGTACATTGTATTGTAATACATTAGAAGCTTAGAGCGATGTTAAGCATATAGTTTGTTGCAACAATAGTCAGTGCTGCTCTTTGTTTTTCTGTTGCTTGGTGGAGGGTAGCCATGGTTTACACAACAGTAAGTTGTTTTGTATGTTATTTCCAGATGTTTTATCCTGTGAAGTGTAGTCAGAGACACATTCATCACACTGGTGGACAATAAAGTCACTGCACTGCAGTGTAAAACATCACATTATAAGGAAAACACAGCCTTCTCTGATCTGTTGTCACATGTAGAAATTGAATGGCTGCTGTAAGTCCTGCAGACCACCAGATGTCGCTGTGCTGCGTGCTGAGTTCAAAGACCTAAGCTTTAAATCTTTTTGCGAGGCAAACACCTTTTAAAAAAACTTTAATATTACTGATTTACACGACTTTAATGTACGTCTTTACCTCACCCCTCCTTAAATATTTATTTATTTTTGAGTGAAACCGCCTCTCTGCATTATAGCCTAAGTAATTTGTGTCCTTTTATATTTTCATTAGCTCTCATTGGGTTTCCTCTCATTTTCTTGTACATGTATTACTGTCTGCAGGTGTTTTTTTTTAAATACATATTAAATAATAAATCCCAGTTCTATTGCACAGTGGACGTATCTCTCATGTAAAGGACACAATGAAGTTTATTAGTAAGCAGGAGTTCCGAGGGGACAGTGAAGGCAGCAGCAGCCTCTTGTTGTGTTCAGGGGCAGCAGTGGCCTGTTGTCGCCGATGGAGATGTGATTCAGTTGTAGATTAAACTTTCCCTTCAGTATGCTCCGGTGTGTTAACGGGCTGCTCTTCTCCAGACACCGACACTAGAGGCGGAGGAAGAGCCGGGTTCCAGCTGCTCTACGGCGGGAGGAGCTCCCGATGCTACTTAGCTTCACTGTTAGCATCTTAGCAGCCGCTCCGTCAATTGAAGGCATCACTGTTCCCGCTCATAGTCTATAACCAGTCTATGACAGCAGCAGAATGACCTCAGCCTCCACAAAAGTAAGTTCTCTACATGTGAACCACTCAGATGTGGTTTGTCAACGTTTCCCGGGCTGGACAGTGTCTTGGTCTGTGGCTCGAGCACCTCACAGTTTCCCGCTGCTGCTCGCGAGAGCAGTGGATCTGAGGTCGCGTTAGTTCTGAGAGGTGGATTCAGGAGAGTCAGAGAACATGATAAGGTCTAGATCAATATTTAACTGATCATTTCAACTGACCATGTAATGTTAATTAATATAATTAATACGAATATCGATGAATTAATAAGCAGATCTGATCAGTTTTCAGTCATAACTTCTTCATATATTATATGTAAAAAAGTATGTGGACACAGCTGTCCAGATGTTGGTCCTGGTTTGGTCTTGGTTCATGCTCCAGTGTGCAGTGATGCTGTAGATGGTGGTGAGAGTCCAGCTCAACATGATCTGCCTCCCTGCTCAGATCCAGATCCACACAGAAACAGTTTCCCAGTTTGCGGTGGGAGAACCTGACTAAACCTGACTGACAACCTCGTCCAACACCTTATGGATGATCTGGATCACCGACCCAGTATTAATGTTGGACCATTCCTGCAGCTGGTTTAACATCTGGATGAATGGCTGAAACCAGAGGACTGCAGGCTGTTATATCAGCATGTTAACAGGCATGATGTCAGAGTCACATGACTGTTCAAGTGTCTACATACTTTGAGTCATGTAGGGAATCTGACTCTATGTCATGTGTTAATGTCCTGATGAATAATACACACTCTCTCTTTCTGTGTGTGTGTGTGTGTGTGTGTGTGTGTGTGTGTTTCAGGTTGGAGAGATCTTCTCTGCAGCTGGAGCTGCCTTCACCAAACTAGGAGAGCTCACCATGCAGCTGCATCCAGTGGCAGACTCCAGTCCTGCAGGGTAACACACACACACACAGACACACACAGACACACACAGATACACACACACACACACACACACACACACACACAGCTGCAGTCGACTCAGTCACAGGAACATTAAATACTCAACATGTCCTCACAGTTCATTCATTGGTTCAGTCCTTACTTATAAAGCATGGTCCAATGAGAGCAGATAACAGGAATCCAAAAAGAATCCAACAGTAAGACAAATATTAAGATTTTAGGACTGTAAACTCGTAGTTTACAGTCCTAAAATCTGTAAATGATATGCAAAAAAATCATATTGCAATTATTTTTTACAGGTATTGCGATATGCGATTTCAGTTGCAATGGTTGTTTTTGCATTTTCATTTTCCCTGAAATAATATAAAGATGATGATAATGTGGTTTTTGTTGTCTTGCGCCAAACAAACATGTTCCTTTACATCTGGAGAATATGATGTGTAGGCCAGGGCGTCTCTGTAGCACCACAACACTTACGGTGCTAAAAATGCACAACAATGTTGTGATACATTTTACCTTTATCAAAAAAATGCAGCTCCTGTGATTTGGATATTGCACTTGGCCATATTACGATTTTGATTGTATTTTGTATTTTGATTTATTGTGCAGCTCTACTGTAAATGAAAGATCAGAATCAAACTGAGAGGGTAAAAAAGGACACCAGTGTTAAACCAGCATTAAACCAGTGGTAATCCATTGTTAAACCAGTGTTAAACCAGTGTTAATACAGAGTTAAATCAGCATTAAACCAGCATTAAACCAGTGACCAACATTTAACCAGTGTTAAACCAGCTTTAAACCAGTGTTTAACCAGCATTAAACCAGCGTTAAACCACTGTTACACAGGATCACAGTTAACCTGGAGGATCTGCAGCTCTCTTATCTGACCAGAGTAAACCTGCTGAAGTTCATCCACCTGTAGTCCTAACTGCAGGAGACCTCGGACTGAGACTCTCCCGGATCGAGTGACGCACTGACTCTGTCTGTACTGCAGAGGAGAGAACAGATAGTTGGGCTGTTCTCCTACAAGTGAATTATAAATGTAGACTGAGGAGTACAGGTGTCCTCTGACTGACAGACTACAGTCCTGTACAAGTCATATGAGACATATACAGAGTGAAGTGAGGATGGTAGAGTGCTTGTGAATAACAGGGACTTTAAGCAACTTCATGAACTCCCCTGTTCACCAGTAACTAACGTCAGTTCAGTTCCCATCTTCCCTCCAGTGGTCAAACGAAGAACACGGTGAAGAGGAAGCTGTATGAGGACGTGGCTCTGCCTGCTGCAGATGGGCCCAAGAAGGTCGTCAAGAAAGCCACGGTTACTGTTGCCATGGCGACACAGGGCACTCCAACCATCATCTCTGTGCCCACAGCTCAGGTTGTCATGCCTTCAGGACTACAGGGTCCCCCCTCCAACCAGCCCCCCTTGAAGAAACAGAAGACTGCAGGTAAGTCCAGCATCAAACCACCCCCTACACCCACCTGATATTTATCATTTTTTTTCCAATGTTCACAAACAGTTCTAAAAATGTTCATCTTTTGTGTCTGTGCACATGTGTGTGTGCATGTGTGTAGATGTGACCCTCAGTGCTCTGAATGACTCAGATGTCAACAGTGATCTTGTGGACATTGAGGGACTGGGTGAAGGATCCAACTCCAAGAAACTCAACAACTTTGATCAAGGTGAATCCTGAACATCTGAACACATGAAGCAGTTCTGAGTAGAGCACAGAGCAAAGCACGACACTGTGTTTGTTACCAATCAAAGATCCACTGAACATCCAAAACTGTGAGGAGTTCAAACCTGACATCAGTAGTTTCTGATCGAAGTTTCTCAACAACATTTATCATTTGACTTTTTTATTTTGTCAAAGAAACAAAAAAATCGGGAAGAAAGAACATGAAAAACATCATCAGAGGTTTTGAAGGAAGGATGGTGTTTGTTAGAGACTAAAGAGTCACATGACAATCCATATTTACTGTGACTGTGTCACATGGCAAAAGCAGCACTGTTAAAGGCTTAAAGCTGCTGTGTGTTTTTATGTCATTATTCTGATGCACAGACACAGTTGCTTTAATTCTAATGGTCTGTACATGTTAACATTTGCCACAACTTTACACAAACCAACAATGACTGTATCTGTCTAACGAGTGTCTGTCTGCCTGCCTGCGTGCGTGCGTGCGTGCGTGCGTGTGTGTGTGGGTTGACTGAGCTCCATTAAAACACATCACACATACATGGACTGAGGTCAGAGTCAAAATACTCTCTTTATACACTTCTCCTTTGACCTCAGTGGAAAACATCATGAGGTCAAGGAAAGATGTGAAGGAGAAATTATAAGGACTTAGAATCACTTACACTTCTTTTTAAACTATATTTAAACACATGTACACACTGATGTATACTCCTTTACTAACCACAAACACATGGTGAAACTACAGTAGTGTATCGTTTTAATTGTTGCTACAGCAAGGAATTGTGGGATGGCATTTTTCCTTTCCTTTCGTAAAGGAAGGTCCAGTGTTTCCTCTGCTAAAGGAGATGAGATAGGAAGCACTGAAGCTCCTGTCCTCATCATGTAGAGAAGTGGAGCAGCTCTGATCATGGCTGCTGCTCAGATACTTCAGCTCATTTCACTCAGTTTGAACCTCCTGCAGCCACGTAGTTTACTCTGACGCAATTTCACACAAACCTTCCTGCTGCTCCACTACAGTGCTAAATGTGGATTAATCCACCACTGAAAATAGTCCCCAACAAAGTCACTCTTTCCCGCTTTCTTAGTAATGTTTGTTAGAAACTGCAGAGGATAAATTAATCTTGTTTTTTTTATAAATGAAACTATAGATGTGAGAGGCTTCGGTAGGAACAAATGAGGTCTGATCTGAGAACCACAGACAGAGTTTAAAGATGGATTAACACACTGCTGGTTCTAGTATTGGTTCATAATAATAAAATCCAGACTGTCCTTTAATCGAGCTGTGCACATTTTGTTTTGTGTCTCTGTAGATAACCTGAACCTGGACTCCAGCCTCATCATGAATCCCAGTGACCTCCCTCTGCTCTCCCGCTGACCTTTGACCTGTGACCTTCACTTAAACAATGGACTAAACAGTCAAAATAAGTAGAAATAAAAGTGACTGATGCTGATCCACCACGTTACAGTAAATATAACTGTTGATTATGTGGGGTCATACAGGACTCATCCGACTGTGAGTCTGTTGGAATGTGTTTGGATCATTTTTACTGAAAGACATTTTTATTTCGTCCTCACTGACTTTTATTTTGTAGGGACACAATCTTTTAGCAGTGGGGTTCACACTTCCTGTGTTTTTAAAGAAAAGCCAGGAAACAAACAGGAAACAGTTTTATTGTTTCTTGTTCAGGCTCAACACATTTAATCAGCAGATGTGAACAGTAGACAGAGTAGTTACAGAGAGTAGTTCAGTGTATTCCTCCTCTCAGCTTGTCACTGTATTAGAGGTTAAAGGTCATGAAGGGTCATTCACCTGCCTTTGATGACTGAAGAAGAATCATCATTATCATCATCATCCACTTAATATTAGTGGCTGAAAAATGTGTGAAAACCAGTTCTCTAGCTTTAATTCCTAATTAGGTAATTCATAACTTAAGATCCACGTACTAGCTTTTTTCAGAGCTTCCAGGTCTTCATCAGATGATGAAGATTGCCCAGTTGTAATGGAGTTTGGTACTCTGATCCTCCTCATCCTCCGATGAAGACTGGGAGATGTGGAAAAAGCTCACAGAGTCATGGACTTTGAGTTTTTCTTTTATTTAAGTTAAACAACTTAAATAATATGATGAAATTGAGTTTTGTTTTTTAAAGTCTGGTAAATTCACTTTCTTTCAGCAAGCAATGAGGAGATCGCTGATCTCGTGTCCCTCTTTGCTTGAAGTACAGAGGAGGTTAGCCTAGCTTAGCATAAAGACTGGAAGCGGGGGGAAACAGCTAGCCTCCTACAACAGCCGTGACCTCCAGGGATCAGAGATGAAGTGTTGGTTAAGAGCTGTCTGGACAGAACCAGGTTACCTAGTAACAGTCTTAAAATGTTGTGACAGTAACTGTATACTGTCACAACATTTTCAGACTGTTACTAGGTCAGTGTGGTCAGTGTGAGGTCAGATATTACATCACTGTCCCATGGCAATAACTCATATTTATACCAGACTGATTATTAAACTTAATGATAGCGGTTGAGCTGTGACAAGTCATGTGTTGGTTCTTCAGTACAAACTGTGTCTCTCATTATAACCTGAGATTAACCTGCTTTACACTGACGATGATGATGGATCAGGATGTTTTCTCAGTATTTATAACCACACAGTGAAAAGTTAAACTCGTCCCATTGTGGTAAATAATAGCTTCATAACAACTGTGCTAATGTGCTGATGAAGATGAAGTTGAGATGTAGTTGAAAGCTTTCTTTGGTAATAACTCAAGTTGTCAAATCAACATTATTTTTTAATAAAAATAGAGCTGATGATACGTCTCTGTCCTCTGTGATCAAATCTGATCCAAATCCACTCCATCACATTTGATCCTTATTTTAGATCTAGTGAAGTCTCTTCTTCCTCTCTGGTTCATGTTAGTCTTCCTCACTGATCTTCAGTCACAGTCTAACAGTTAGGAGAATGATCCTGAGTGAAAGTGGCTCAGCAGCAGGTCACCAGAGGTCACTACAGGCTATCTCTGTTAGCTCAGTAGAAAGATGAAGAAAACTCAGGTTTTGTCTATATAAATATTTATTAGCAGTATTTTACAAACAGAATTGTCATGTGGTCATGTTTAATTATATGTTTATATGTTTAATACATATATGTGGAGGAGGAAGATGATGATGAAGAGGAGTGTGTGTCTGACAGGAGCAGCACATTTCATACTGGCAACGCTGAGAAGACATACCAGTAATGATGTGCTGCTACAGCCTGACACACTGACTGCCACACACACACACACACACACACACACAGAGTAAAACACACCACAGGATGTAGTTTTCATTTTACTGAGTAAAACATTTTCTACAAAAACATTTGGAACAAAATAAAGCAGATTCAGATGTGTCAGGTCTGACTGGGAGCAGCTCCCAGTGCTTCCAGTGTGTTGCTGGGAATCCCAGAGCTCACAGTGGCAGCACATAATGATTTGAAGTGATTCACTATAAATCTGCAAAACATGATGTGCTGCTAGAGCGCACCCTGGACACACCAAGACCACGAGTCCATCAGATTTACTGTCCTATTGTGTACTCACTCAGGGGGAAACATCAGTGTAACACAGCAGAGACACACATGATGTTCAGCTCTCATGCTTTCTTTTCTTTTTATCATTATTCAGCTGCCTGTTAAATACTAATCTGCATAATTTATACAAAACTTGTCTTAATATGCTAATGTGGATGTATGACGTGTAATAGCTGCACATGATTTAACTTGAGCCTTGTGGTACAAACAGAGAGTCAAGCTCATGATTCAGTTCTTCTTCTGTGGTATTTCTATAGCAAACAAAATGGCTGAAGAGGACAAAATGGAGGAAGAGAGAAGAAAGAGGAAGGAGTGGAGATGAAGAAGCAACATGACTGAGCTGCTTTCATATAAAACTATAATGTTATATAATATCAAATACAAACTGCTGTATATGTGGAACAGAATATTGGCACAGCTCAGTGCGGAGATTAACCTGCTCATCTGTTTCTGCATGTTTAATATTCACAGAAACACACTGAAAGCAAAACAACTGAAGTTACTGTAGAAAACTGCACAAATGAAACAAAACATTTATTAGTATTATAAATATTATTATTATTATTCTCAGAGGTCGGAGTGAAAATCAATACAAATAAACCAAACAGGAAACAACTGTAAATTCATTGTGAAGCACCTTTACAGGAAAACATGATAAATCATCTCAATCACATCTAAATCTTTGTTTCAGTTTGAATCAGTTTCTTTTTTTACTTTTTCTCTGCACAAACAACATGAAATATGTTGTTATATGTTGGACATTTAAAACAATATTCCTACATTATTTTTCAGTCTGTTTTCAGCATCACTAACAAACATTGAGATGAAGTGTGTTTTCATTTCTAAATGTCTCTGGTGCAGAGCAGGACTTCAAGCTCTGCTGTTTGAGCTTGTTACACATCAGCCTGATAAATAACATGAAGACATTCTGCTGTTTGAAGCACCAGGTGAGAGCAGGTGGAGTTTGTACCCACAGGTGCGGAGATGAGTAGGGAGGGTGTGATGAGCTGAGCAGCATCTTACCTGCAGGTCTGCAGAGGGTCACACCATCAAACACTGTAAGAGGAGGAGACGGGTTAGTGGGAGGGAGAGGACTGATGGAAATGATCAGACATTACACACTACACTTTACTGATCTACACACACACACACACACACACACACACACACACACACACACACACACACACACACACACACACACACACACACACATACACCTGCTGTCACTTCAGTCCCGAATCTGTTCAGGAGGTGAGATGGACCTGAGTCCCCCACCTGTGCCAGAGGAGAAGAAGAAAACAAGGATCATCCTGACCTGCCTGTGTTAGAGCAATAAAATAGCATTAAAACAGATGCCTTGATCACACACTGAACACACTCTGAACACACACACACTGAACACACTCTGAACACACACACTCTGAACATACACACACACACTCTGAACACACTTTGAACACAAACACACTGAACACACACACTGAACACATTCTGAACACACACACTGAACACTCTGAACACACACACACACACACTGAACACACACTCTGAACACACACTGAACACACACATGCACAGTGACATCGTTCTAATGTCATGTCACAGACCACAAGAAACAAGATGAGGGAGGTTCTAATAGGAACCATGTCACAGATGACATGACACAGCGAAGAAGGTTCTAACAGGAACCATGTTTCCATGAATCAAGATGAAGGAGGTTCTAACAGGAACCATGACTTCATGAAATGTTAGCAGCTATATGAGCTGTAGTATAAGAGGAGTCTGGTCAGCTCTGGTTCACAGCTGAGTTAACTATTGTTTCTAACATGTATATGTTCATTCATTTAATTATACATGAATATCCTGTATATAACAAAGTAGGGGGAGCAATAAGGGTCAAATTTTCTGTTTGGGTATTTGTAATTTTATATTATGATGTAAATGAAAATCTGTTAAATAAACCAGAGGACTGAGTCTGTTTATGGGAATTGTAGTGAATTCAATACAAATACGAATCAACTAATTCAATAAAAAAATCCGGTATCATCATAAACCATATTTATATAATTAAAAATTAGATTTTAGAGGGATAGACAGGATGTTTGTTTTATGTTTATATTCATATGGCTGATCTATCTATCTATCTATCTATCTATCTATCTATCTATCTATCTATCTATCTATCTATCTATCTATGTCTCAGACATCGCTACTACAAATATTTTTTTAATGGCGATGACCAGAGATGTGTTTGACATTACTTACTTGATAAATGAACTACTAATTTGTTATTGTTAATATTTGTTAATTTGTTTCTGTTGATCTATTTTCCATGATCCAAATCAGCATTAAACTTCACTGTGAATAATGTGCAACTGCAGCTAAAGATTGTTTTTATTATCAAGTCATCTGCTGATTTTTTTTTATTATTATTAAATAATTGTTTGCTCTCTAAAATGCTCATTGTGACTTCTTCAGATATTTGTCAGCTGTCAGGCACAAACACGTTCAGATACACTGATGTAAAAAAAAAAAAATTTGCCCAATTATTCCTGCTATTCTTAATTATCACATTTGTTCCTGATCAATTTTCTGTCACTTGACCAATCAATCACATGACCATTGTTTCCATACTGAAATACACTATATACAGTACACAGTATATATACAATATATATGGTACACAGTATATACATAATATATATGGTACACAGTATATATACAATATATACGATACACAGTATATATACAATATATACAAAACACAGTATATATACGGTGCCACTGCAGACCAACAGCTGTGTTGTCACTTTGTGTGTAAAGCTGAAGTGAAGCTGGAGGCAGTCATGACATGTCAGCACCACACCTCACCAGATTTTACTGTCAGAACAGTTGAATTTAAGTGATAAAAATGTTCATAATCATCACATGCAGAAGAAAAATTCACTTTAAAAAAATCAGATCAGGAATTTAAAACATGAGGTGGACACATGATGTCGCACAGAGCCAAAGGACCACAGTCAGAGACAGAGCAGAGGGACGGTAAGGTCACGTCAGAGGGAGAGCAGTGACAGACGAGCGTTAGATTCAGACCCAAACCTCCAGTCTCATTCACAGAAAAACAACACGAAACAGAGAGAGAGGAGGGGGAGAAAAGGAAAGAGAGCGCAGCTGAAACTGTGGTGGAGGGAAAGAGGAAGAGAGAGAGGAGCCTCCTCTGTGGCCTGCTGCTCTCCATTCACTACAGAGGCCATTTTAACACAGCAGAGAAAAAAGAGTCACTTACCGCCGGCTGCAGAGACCACAAACCAAGAGGTGGAGGCTCTAACTAGCCCCAACTACTCACTAACTAACTACTCGGGTAGTTATCTCACCACCAGTCCCCCTCAGTTTGTGTGGATGCTCTCACCAAAAGGCCAGAGTCACGACCCAGACACTAACTAGTCCTCAGTTATAACTAGTCCTCAAAAAAATAAAAAAAAAAATAAAAAAAACCCCACACACGCACAGACACACACATACTGCATTCAGGCTCAGGATGACAAAGATGTTCAAATAAAAATGAAAACAGGAAAAACAGCAAGTCTAAAAACGTCACTACAACACACACACACACACACACACAGACACAGACACACACGCACACAAACACACAGACACACACACAGACACACACACACACACACACAGACACACACACATCAGTGGGAATACACCCAGACTACTACAGTGACAGGGAGCGAGCAGAAAAAGGCCTGATGGGGGTTTCTGTTGCTCCTGCTTCTGGTCCTAGTAAGAGGGGGGGTGTCAGGGGTGTCAGGGGTTGGGGTTGGGGGTTCTAGTCCCAGTCCCAAAAATTGCCCCCCCAAAAACTGAGTACCCCCCCCTCATCCTTCCTTCCTGGCCCTTCACATCTTCACCTCCTAGCTATGTGAGTGTGTGTGTCCCAGTCGTCGTCAGTGCTGCCTCTGCCTCGCTGGAGCCCCAGCTACGCACACTGAGACACTGAGGAGGCTCAGTAGGCATAAAAACCTACAGGCTGCAGCCTTTTTCCCCGGCCATCACTTTCTACAATACAAATCAATGTTTTAGGGGCCACCGAAAAATCTATAAAAAATTCAGGTCACCCCCACGGATGTGTGTGAGACAGGTGTGAAAGGAGGGGTCTGTCGGAGCTACCGTTAATGAGTAAAAAATAAATTAGTGGAAGGCGAGGGGGCTGCTGCGCTGCGCCG